AGTTTAATTTTTCGAGAACACAGTTCAGAAACCATAGATACTTATAAAAATTAGGTCAGGAGTTGATACACTTCCTGTGAAAGTCCAGATGGTAAATATTGACTTTTCGGCCATAACGTCTCAGTTCTGCCTTTGTGCTTGAAAGCAGCAGAGGACAGTAAGTAAACAATGGACACAACTATGTTCCAACAAAACTTTGTAGGACTAGTTTGATAATTTAACATGATGGTAGAATATTCCCACAAATACTTAAAAATGCAATTTTAAGAAGTCACTTTCATATTTACTCACAGTATCACTTGTTTTGGGTGTCCATCTCAGGAGTACTCAGAGGGCGCAGGGATCGCTCACAGCTATACTCAGCCTGAGAGCTCAGTATTAAGGCCCAGTGTTTCAGTGCCACTTGGGCCCAGCACTGCTGGGGACACCAGGGCATGTGGTGCTGGAAATTAAATCCGGGACCGCAAGCACTGAAAACTTATGTTTCTTGGCAACATAAATTCCCTTTAAAAAAAATTCTACAAAATTTTGTACAATTCTAATGCAAGTGGGATGAAACCATTACAATTCACACATTAGTGATGATCCTGAAGCTGAATCAAAGAAGGCCTTCTAGAAAATAATTTGACAAGTTATTTTAAGGGCCATTAAAACTTAGGCAAGTCATGACTATATTTTAAAACATTCAAATATGCATGTACCAACAACAAGAAGTAGCAAAAAGTAGAAACAACTCAAATGACCATGAGTAGAGGGAAAAGTTTTTGGATTTTTACCACTTACAAGCAAATTCAGTCAATGCCTGATGACAAACCTCAGCCTAAAATTGTGCAAAGTAAGATGGTTTTGTGTGTGTGTGTGTGTGTGTGTGTGTGTATGCATGAACAGAGGTTTTGGTGGTGGGGGGTAAAGTAGGGGAAATACTAAACCTAGCTCCTCAAGGAAATATTTTTCACAGTTACTTTAAATGATCAGAAAACTACACGAGCATGCAAATCTTAAGATATGATGTGAAGGGATAAAAATCCATGTTCATACCTCATGAGTACTCTGCTGATAGTAATATAAAATCACAGTATATAAAAAATAGGAAGTTTCAAGATGATAATAGTTAATGATGTAGAATTTCTCCCTCAAATTTTCTGCAATTCCATTACAATCCATGACTCAGACCAGGAACTCTAGAATTGGGCAGTGTGTTTCTGATTCCTGACTATCTCTGTGAACTTGTGCTCAGTTCTATTGCATGGAAAATGTCAGTAAGGGCCAGACCTAGCCTGCAGGGTTGTTGGGAAGACTAAGTAATAGGCTCTATGAAACACTTTGAACCATCAATTTCTCCAGTGATGGAGAAATCCCACTCCATCATTGGCACACACCATAACCTTTGCAATTGTTAATAGATAACTTTGATTTTGTTTTTGTGCCACACAAGGCAGAGCTCAGGGTTTGCTCCTGACCCTGTGCTCAGGCATCACTTCTAAGTGGGCTCAGGAGACCATATGGGATCCTGGGTAATGTATTCAGGTTGACTGAAAACAAAGCAAATGCCCTTCCAGCTGTACAACAGTTCTGGCTTAATAGATTACTGTGTAATGAAGTGTCGAAAACGGCATGGTGAGATTCGTGCCTTCTTGTCTCGGTCAGACCAATGATGTCGTACTTGATCATTCGCGCTTGTACCATCAGGTCCTCGATGGATGCATCTGATGCTAGCGTACGTGCATTGAAAGTACAGACGATCATTTTTGTCTTCCTTCGTTGTGGCAGCCTAGGTCGGCCTTGAGATTTTGTCGGCCTCTCCTTTCTCATCCTTCTCAGTGCTGCCATGTCGGTGAAGCCTTCAGGGTCAGGTGAATGAGACCAGTTGTAGTTACTGGTTTTGGCATATCGAATACACAGCGGATAGCTTGCCAGGCTCTTCCGTGCGGGCGGAATACTCTCGGTAGCTTGCCAGTCTTTCCGAGAGGTATAGAGGCTTTTGGGGTGACCTCTAATCACCCTTGTAGGTGTTACCATATTTGAACCCTATCAAATATGGTACGACAATTCCAGAAGACGGGTATTTAGTGTCTTATGATGTGTCGCGCGGCCGCTTGCGCGTGGGTCTCGCGTGGGTCTTCAGTTGTGCGTGTGTCTCGGCCGGAGCTGCCGCGCGGGTCCGGAAAGCGTCCTGGAGTGTGGCGACGGCTGGGTAGTGGATAAAAGAGGTGTTGGAGGCGTCGGTGTCCTTGTCAACACAAACTTGGCCAAGAGCATTGATTCATTCGAATGCCTAACAACCCGAATCGGACGTTTACATTTGAATAGATGTGGCTCACTGCCTGCAGTTTCTATCTTCGTTGTCTACGCACCAACATCTCATTATGATGAAAGAGAAATCGAGAAGTTCTACATGGAGCTAGAGAAGTTCTATAAAGAAGACCACACCTTCTACAAGATCATTGTGGGTGATTTTAATGCCAAGATAGGACCGAGAAGATCAGCTGAAGAACTTCACATCGGAACCCATGGCCTAGAATGGAACGAACAGGGTGAGAGACTGTCTGAGTTCATCATGTCGACCAAGACCATTCATGGTAACTCACAGTTCCAGAAGGCAGAATCTAAACGATGGACATGGGAGTCTCCCGGTGGACGATTCCACAACGAAATAGACCACATCATATTCAATCGACGGTTTTGCCTGACTGATGTCGCTGTTGTCCCAAAATTTCGAACGGGATCGGACCACCGTCTCCTTCGTGCAAAATTCTACTTCACAGAGCGGGGAGAAAGGGCTGCAAAGTTCAAAAAGAGAACTCCCAGAACGTCCACCAACTGGGAACTCTTTGGCACTATTGCGGCAACATGGGAAGATGCCATTGTTGACAACATTGACGAGGAATACGATCGACTGGTTCAGCACCTCCATGAATGTGCGAGGAACGCCAAGAGAGAGATAGCCACAAAAAGTCGCCTATCTTCGAAAACTCTTGAGCTAATTCGCCAGCGTGGTTTGGCGCATGCCTCAGGCAACCGCAAGCTAACGTCCGAGCTTGCAAAGCAGTGCAGAGATGCGATCAAGGAAGACCTCAAAGAGAGAAGAGCAGAAGTACTGGTAGATGCGGCAGAAGCCGGGAAAAGTATTCGTAACGCCCGCCTGTCCTTCGCCAACTATAAGACCAAGATGACTGCCCTCCGACGTCCTGATGGATCCATCACATCCTCCAGAACGGCAATGGAGAAGATTATCCATGACTTCTACTCAAATCTCTTCGATAGCCATGTCCACTTGCCGACATACCAAATTCCACAGGATGGGTATGTCGTTCCCAACGTTCTCCCTTCCGAAATCCGACACGCCATTTCGTCAGTAAAGAAGCAAACAGCACCCGGCCCAGACAAGGTCAGACCTGAACACCTGAAGAACCTGCCGTCAGTACTCATCAATACACTGGCTCGGCTCTTCACTCGCTACCTGTCTGAATGCAAGGTTCCATCTCAATGGAAAACCAGCAGGACCGTACTACTGTTCAAGAAGGGAGACATCCATGACATTGGCAACTATCGCCCGATCTGCCTATTGTCTGTCATCTACAAGTTGTTCACTCGAGTCATCCTGAATAGGATTGGCAGAACACTAGATGAAGGACAACCATGTGAGCAAGCAGGGTTCCGCAAAGGATTCAGCACCATCGACCATATCCACACGATAACCAAACTCATTGAGGTTTCTCGGGAGTTCAAGATGCCGCTCTGCTTAACGTTCATTGATTTAAAGAAGGCCTTTGATTCTGTTGAGACAGAAGCGGTCATTGAAGCCCTAGCCAATCAGGGCATTCAAGCCCAATACATCAGGATCCTCCGTGAGCTGTACTGCGGATTCACTACCAGGATCTCACCATTCTACAAAGAAGTGATCGTTGATGTCAAGAGAGGGGTGCGGCAGGGTGATACCATTTCACCAAAACTCTTCAGTGCCACCCTCGAGAACATCATGCGACGACTGGAATGGGAAGGAATGGGAGTGAAGATAGATGGTCGGCAACTACACCACCTCCGCTTTGCTGATGACATTGTTTTAATAACACCAAACATCAGCCAAGCGGCACAAATGCTGGCCGACTTTGACCGTGAGTGTGGAAAGGTAGGACTACAGCTGAATCTTACGAAGACAATGTTTATGAGAAACAGCCTTGTTCCTGATGCCCCATTCATTCGCTCTCAATGGAACGACCATCTCCGAATGCAACAGCTATGTGTACCTAGGTCGAGAGGTCAACATGACAAATGACCTGGCACCCGAGCTGCGCAGGAGGAAGAGAGCGGCTTGGAACGCCTTCAAGAACGTCGAAGAAATAGCTAAGAGGACGAAGAACCTCCGGCTCCGGGCACATCTCTTTGATTCCACTGTTCTTCCTGCATTAACATATGCCTCAGAGACCTGGGCCCTACGCAAACAAGATGAGAACGCTATTCAGGTCTCCCAAAGAAGAATAGAAAGAGCTATGCTTGGAATATCACGTTTCACTCAAATGAGAGAACGAATCCGGAGTTCTGACATCCGTCGACGATCAAGGATCAGGGACGCTGTCTCATTTGCCAAGGTGTCGAAAATCAGATGGGCTGGTCACGTAATGAGATTTAAAGACGACCGCTGGACTAGAGCTGTTACCGACTGGATTCCACGGGATGTCAAAAGACCGCGTGGCCGCCCACCTACCAGATGGTCAGACTTCTTCGTCAAGATCATGAACGATCGGTTTGAGGCCCTTCATGTTCCCGGAGCGAACAGATGCCATTGGGCTACACTAGCACGCGACAGGGACAAATGGAGATGTTACTGGCGCCCGCTCGAGCAAATCGACGACTAACGGGAAGTTAAGTGATTAAGTGATTAAGTGTAATGAAGCAAATACATTTGTGTTTCTCAAGAAACATTTCACCAGAATCTAAAAGCAGAATTATAATGGGACTGAGTTCAGAAGGAAGTGCCCACAGTGTTCTGTGATACTTACAGAATCAACCAGGATGTGTGAATGAGCATGGGAACCTCCTTCCAGAGACTGAGAAAAATAGACATCTATGGAATACTGTACATCTGGTTCTAAGCAGATGGTTGTGGGAAGCAGCATGACTCTGTATTAAAAAATGAGACAAAAACTCAACACGAAGTTCAGTTATGTAATCAGACAGGCAATAATATTTGGACCCATCCCACCTGTGTTTGGAGGGTTGTTGCACCATAGGCTGGAGGCTATCTATGGGTCTAAACTAGCTCAGAGGGTTTGGTGAACTGTTAATTCACACTTTGGGGCTTTTTCAAAGGGTTATGCCAAATAATAAAGTCTCAGGAAAGCTTTTCCATGGGGCTAGAGTGATAGTACAGAAGAGAGAGCATTTACATTGCACACAGGCCACTCTGGTTCAATCTCTGGCACCCCAGATGGTCCTCTGAGCACTGCCTTGAGTGGTTCCTGAGTGCAGAGCCCGGACTCACCCCTGAGCATTGCCATGTGTAGTCCCAAAATAAAACTGAGAAAAACTATTGCCCATGACACTTCTGGGGAAAAGATGAAACAAAGGTTCCTTAACCATGTTATTATCACTAGGATCTCAGTTTAATTTTGCCACAAATTTCTGGTGAAACAAAATGTGTGGCCCTGAAATACATGGATTTTTTTGCCAGACTTTCAGCTGTTAAGATTGCCTAAGCTGAATATTTTACCCTGATCTCTGGGCAACACATCTAGGTATTCTTGTTCTCAATATCTTCTTCATTTGTAAAAGATAAAAATCTACCCCATGGAGTTATTAAAAAAAGTAAATATAAAGCATACGGGCTGGAGCGATAGCACAGCGGGTAGGGCGTCTGCCTTGCACGCAGCCAACATGGACGACCCGAGTTCGATTCCTCCGCCCCTCTCGGAGAGCCCGGCAAGCTACCGAGAGTATTGGATATGCCAGACACACTAACAACAAAGTCTCCAATGGAGACGTTACTGGGCCCGCTCAGGCAAATCGACGATCAACGGGAGGGCCTTTACCTTTACCCCTCAATAAGTACTTAATAAATGGTATACTTTCCTTCCATTTTATTCTTGGATACAAATAGTTGATATACAAATGAAATTCTAAAAGATCATTATGGTTTTAGCAGATTCAATAGTACCTGGAAGTAGTTGGTAAGGTAAACAGTGAAGACTTTCCCTGTGGGGTCTTATGTGAACAGTGCTTTCTTTCCTCAGAGGGGGTTACCATGATCTGGGCAGCCCAGTTGGCTGAAGTCTAGATAGGGGGATAGAAAAGCATGTTACTGTAATTCCAAAATTGAGTTATTCATGTACAAGCATGTGAAACTTATACCTATGTACATACCATATAAAACATGTCCATATTCATCAACACATTTAAAAAAATATAGCTTTGCAGTTATACATGCCGAAGCATGCACAAACATGTAGCTAATGGAGAATGCATGCAATCAAATTAACAACCCGTAGCCACCCAGAAAATAAAATTTTGGAACTGAAAGATTCTTAGAGGTTGGCCTCCAACCCAACTCTCTGTGTCTGAGAGAATATTCGGGTACAAAGAATATTGTTTCTGTAGATTAGTTCATGGAATGGAAAAAATTTGAGCTTATAATAGGTCTGATATCAAGCCATATCTCCCAAGGTGTTATATCCCAGAATCACAGTGCAAAGAAATAAAAATCTGGGATCCCTAAAAACGTTTACCTGTGTTTTGCATATTCATATATTATATGAATTATGCTATTCTATGCTACTTAATAATTATCATGTTCGAAGTTATAGGTGTATAAATATATATGTCTATATTAAAACCTGTGCTAATTAGCTACACTCTGGACCTCAGAGATGTGTCCTCTCTATGAAAAAGTCAATATATACAAATATATATATATACACACATATATATATGTTTTGGGGGGCTGGAGCGATAGCACAGTGGGTAGGGCATTTGCCTTGCACACGGCCAACACGGCCAAGTTCGATTCCTCTGCCCCTCTGGGAGACCCCGGCAAGCAACCGAGAGTATTTCACTAGCACAGCAGAGCCTGGCAAGCTCCCCATGATGTATTCAATATGCCAAACACAGTAACAACAAGTCTCACAATGTTACTGGGTCCACTTGAGCAAATAGATGAACAATGGGAGGACAGTGACAATGATGATATATTTTGGGACCACACCTGGTAGTGCTTAGGACTTACTCCTGGCTCTGTGCTCAGGGATCACTTCTGACAGGGCTCTGGGAACCACGTGTAGTGTTGGGGGCCTGGTTGGCTCTGTGCAAGCAAATACCTTCTGCAATGTACTATCTCCCTGACCTTATACAGAAATGTTTTAATGGCTTTCTTATCATTAGATAAAAGTTCACTGAAATCCCTTGAACTTCATTTGTAAGTTAAAAACAGGAGACGTGTCATATCAAAGCAATTTTGGTCATGCAACTCACAGTGCAAGATTACACAATGCCCCCAGAGAGTCTTTGGAGACTCTAACATCACTCCCCAGATGCAGATCTAGAAAATAGTTTGGGGACTAGATGGTCTGTGAGGTTTCAGATTATCAAAGAAAAGATTATAAAACAACAATCAAAAATACTTGGAACTATTGTTCTTGATCAAGTATTTTTCTAATTTGAATTATATTCTCTCAAATTTTTTCTCAGAAAGTAAATTGAAGGGGTAGTAGCAATGCAGTGGAAACAAGACTTATAGTCTGCTTTTAATTTTTTCTCTTGTTTCAGGGAAAATACTAATGCAAACAAATGCTTTTTTCTACATTCATATGAGTCAGTTTATGCACATGTTAGTTTATTAACATTTTTAAGGAAAATAATATTCCAGGAGGGAGTATTTGCACTAATTAACTATTTATTGTTTTTACATATTCTGTTATAACTTCTTTACCAAACTTAAATATATACTTTTAGCTTTAGCTTCTCTCCATGGAAGAAAACAAGCATGTGAGTGTACAACTCATTGTGTTGCTTTAAAATCTTTGGGAAATTTCATTTATAATGCTCTCCAGATGTTCACTTTTCTTGCAAATCATTTTACGACCAACCTGTGTAATAGGACTAGAATGGAAACTCTAGTGTGAGAATGTACTCTGTTTTTTACCACTGAAAAAGTTGAAGTTAAATGATACCTGTGCTTCATAGCGAATGGCAATAGCAAAATCCATGGGAAAGGGAATGTTGTTGATGACAAATCTCAGGCCAGTCCCAGGGAGAACCTTCGCAAACCCAGGGCCTGTCCATGTTACAGGGGTCCCTGGAATAGGCTCTCGGAAAATAACGTGAACAGCAGACACCTGTTCAGAAGCTACGGAATCCTACAAGGAGAGAAATGGACATCACTTTCCTTATATTCAATGCCTGGAAGAGTTCAGAAAAGGAAAAAAAAGAACAATTTAAACACACATAAAACACAACATGTATTTCTTAATCATCTGAGATATGGTTAAATCATTTCAAACAGGATGCGACCCAGAATACAGCCGAGAATAATGTGCTGAATCTGCAGCTCTGGAACATATTAGTTGCTCTATAGAATGATTGATTTGAAAGCACTGTCATGGGAAACCACTTTAATTTCAAGTTCCCAAGTGCTAATGAACTGAGCAAATTCCACACTGATGACTTTGGGTTTTCTCACATCAGATAATGGAGTTCTAGCCAAAATATGGAGGGAAAGAAAATATTCCCAGGCCAATTGGATGGATTTTGCTTAATTTTATGTGACAATGAGAAAACCCACATGGACTTATTTTTTTAGCCTTTTCTTCTGTGCATAAAAGAGGGCAATGCTGCTTTATCTGCTCAAGGGGGCTTATAAGTACAGTTCTCCTAAAGATTGTTGATTCACATCCCCGAGAGGCTCTATACTGGACGTTAGCCCCAGAACATCTGGACCTTGCAGATATAACACTTCTTTAATGACTTCTGCCTCTGCCTCTCCAAACTCACAGCCTCTGCCTTTCAATACTTTTAGCTTGTATTGCTGCAACACTCTCCTGGCTGTTCTCTCCACTTTCCCGAGTCCAACACACATTATTCACAGCTGCCAACAAGTATTTGAGATGCTTTCCAACTGCCAGCAGAATCACGCCCAAATTACTTAGCCTGGAGTTCAATTGCTCTGTCATCTTCCCCCAAGCTGCTCTTCATTTGATAAAATGCTTATTTAGCTACACTCCATTGTCAGTCTCCAAATCAGGAATGAATTAGGAATGCGAAGATGACTAGAACAGAGTGCCTGCCACAGTTTAGACTCTTGCTTGGAGAGAGAAATGTAAATAAAAAAATCACACACTCACAACTAGGCTTCAATAGAGAGAGGGGTATGTAAACTCATCTGTGGAAATATTTTTCAGACATTAAAAATAATAGTCTTGGGTCAGAGAGATTGCTAGTTCAGGGATAAGCATTTGCCTTGCATGCAGCTGACCTTCGTTTAATCCCCAGAAACACATATGGTGTTGCAGCACCTTCAGGAGTGAACTCTGAACACAGAGCAAGGAAAAGCTCCGAACACCACTGGATGCAATCCAAAGACCAAAATAATAATAAAGTAAAGTAAAATTGAAAAATAGTTCTCGCATATGCAGTAGACCACTGGTCTTCAGTCACTGGTCTGAGGATAGCTCCAGTCTACAGATGGAGAAAGGTTGAAAAGCTGGTCTACCATCTTGGTTGTAACTGTTGGTTGTGGATCAAGATAGGTACTAGTTTGAAAGTGTGTAAAAGTTGAAAGATTGTGCTTTAGACACCATAGATGCTCCGCCCAGCCCCTAAATTCCTGACCCCTGAAGCCAACCCTCGCTGCTATATATGTAGTGTCTAAGAGCTCACAAATGCTTTCCTTCTCCAGATAATCACCCTCTTCCAGTCCTTTTCTCCCCCTCCTTACAGAGGAGCTTGTGGTAGAAATCCAGTGATAGAAAAGCCTGGTCTTGTCTCAAGAGGTCAGGGAAGCTTTGCCTGTAGGCTGTGCTTCTGAGCTTCTCTATGGACATATCTAGGGTTGATGTCACTGAACCGACATTCTGAGATACTTCTTTCTATTCCCTACTGTTCTCCCCAAACTCAGGAAGAATTTTCCTGAAGACCATTTCCCTAACAAATCACAGGTACATGAAGCCCATCTTAGACTCTACTTCCAGGGCACCAGACCTGAATGGTCAGTCCCAGATAGCACACCCTATGGCGGAATAAGTGGTGAGAAGGAGATAATAAAAATCTCCTTAGAGTCTTGAGATCAATTGCAACAGCACACTGATGGTGAGTTATCAATCCCCCTTGTTTTTATTCTTCCCTGAGAATTCTTCCCTGAGAATTGTGACCTCTATGATTTGTCAAAAGAACACCTGGTCACCCACCTATGAGATGGTCGGACTTCTTTATTTAGACCCTGAATGAATGGTTTGATGCTCTTCGTCTTCCTGGAGCAAGCAGAGCGGCCACTGGGCTACACTAGCATGCAACAGGGATGAATAAAGACATTACTGGCGCTCTGAACAAGGGGATGACAAGTAATTACAAGTGATGATCCTCTGAAGTGATAGTACAGTGGGTAGTGAACTTAAGATGTATATGTATAGGGTCAATCTCCTGGGCAGGTAACTTCTGTAATTGTGCAAGATTCCACTCTCAGAAGGACCCTGTGGATCGTTTAATAATCTAGTGTCACCAATGTGAAATAATAAGTAGCTTAGAAATTGCTTTGAAGGTGAAGTCTCTTGGGACAATGGAGAGAGAACACACATGAATGGATGAGCTATATACAGGATACATATTTGCTACTCAGTTCACACAGGGTGCCATGTTCAAGGCTCTTTCAGGGTTAGGAGAATGAGATCCATCATTGTTACAGGGCTAGGACGAAGGAGACATTACTGGAACCTGCTCAAGGCAATCAACGAACAACAGGATGATCATGATCGTGATTGTGATCACACAAGGTGCACACAATGCTCATGGGCATAGGATTCAGCTGGACTTACAAGCTGTAGATGTCCAGCCAGACTTCAAGTGAGTATAAAGGAAGCATGTCACATTTATGACTCAGTAAAAGCAGGATGGCAACAATTCCAAGAAACCATGCTTTCTGTTCCAAACTGAAGTTGCTTTGAAAGTAAAAAGATGGAAAAAGCATTCTAAACAAGGAACTCAATCATAGCTTTTCTCATTGATGTTAGTTCCCTGCACGTGAGGATGTGAAGAAAGAAAGAAAGCAGGAAGCCCATTCTTATTTCATTTCCTTTCAGTCCTTTGTCATTTATCTGTAAGCTAAAGATAGAAAATCTTAGAATATCAAAAAGTTTTAGGGGCCAGAGAGATAGTACTGCAGGTAGGGCTTTTGCCTGGATGCAGTCAACCTAGTAATTTCTGAGTGCAGAGTCAGGAGAAACCCCTGAGCACTGCTGGGTGTGACCTCCAAACCAATATATATATATGTTTTAAAAAGCTCTAGAATAGACTGTTGAGTTAGTATTGTGTGGCATTCCCATTGTTCTACTAAGAACAAAAATACATATAAATATATGACAACAAAATTTAAATTGAGTAACTTTAAATGATTCCACATGTTAAGTTAAATGCTTATATGTTTAAGCATTGAGTAATTTTAAAATGAATTGTGTAGGACTGGAATGATAGTATAGTGGGTCGGGCGTTTGCCTTGCACTCGGGCAACCCAGGTTCAATTTCCAGCATCCCATATGCTCTCCCGAGCACTTCCAATTACTGAAAGCAAAGCCAGGAGTAACCCCTGTGCATTTCTGGGTATGACCCAAAATGCGAAAGAAAAAAAATTAATTGTGTAAAATTGGCCTGGTGTAATTTTAAAACGAATTGTTCAAGAATAATTTTTCTTTACTTATAACATTAAATATCAAGTAAAACATCTCTAGTCATGAGAGAGGCTAAGAAGGAAAGTAAAAAACTTTAAATTTTAATATTTTCAGTGGCTGTTTCCTCTATGGTTTTGAACAAAGTTCACTGGTGTTTTTACTTTGTTCTGGCCCTGGCCATGAGTCTCGGTAAGCATGCAGAGATTGGACTTCAGTCAATGCTGTTAGTGTTCTACTAGGTCCTTTGACTGGCTCAAGCCAAATAGCCTGCAGCTCTTGGGATAGTTAACTGTGATAACTCACCTCTGCTCTTCTCTCTACTCTGTTTGTTTGTTTGGTTTGGTTTGGGGGATCATACCCAGTAGTACTAGGCCTTATTTTTGGCTCTGTGCTCAGGGCTTATTCCAGGCAGGGCTTGCGAGATCACATGGGGTGCTAGGGATTGAACCTGGGTTGTCCCTGTGCAAACATCCTACCTGCTATAGTATGGTTCCAGCCCCTCCTCCCTGCTCTTGAGAATAGTCTTGGCTGATGAGAGCCTCTTGATCAAGGAGTTCTCTGCATCTGCAATAACAGCCTGACGGCATGCTGACTGACCCAGGGGTCTCTCAACTATTTGGTGCTTTTATGCACTATAGCTTCAGAGGAAATCCAGTCATGGCTGGACTCCACTGCAAGCCCCACTGCCTACTCTGACATCCAGGCTCCCTTGCTGAATGCTCCCTCAATATAGAACATGCATGGAATCTTATGTAATCTCTGCTGCCAGGGAACCCACCCTAAGACAGGAGAGCAGTTTGTGCACACTTACATAAAACTGAAACAAAAATCTCACCTCAACATGCCCTTGTTCTATATTCCGTTGCACTCAAGTAGCCCAGTTGATTAATTTCATGACCTAATTATTAGTAGGTCATGTAGGTTAATTATTAGTAGGTTACCTGCAATGGAAACTATTAATTATGTTTAGTTGTCAGTCCAGGCAATACCAGAGAGAAGATGGATCAGATCTTAAAGGATGAGTAGAAGTGTTGTGAGTAGATAATATAGAAATGAGCATTTGGGACAAGAGAGAGGAGGGTAGGCTGTGAATGCTTCCAGTGGTGTTTCTCAAAGTGCTTCATTATCTGAATCACCTCCAGGTGCTCAGCAAACAGGCAGATTTCATGGCTAGCCTCAGATTCTCTGACAGTGCCAGAGGGGAAGACTTGAGACTCGGCCTTGTAAATTCTCAGGGCAATATGGTGCATGATTAAAATTGCAGGGTCAAACCTCTGTCACAAGGAAATTAAGTGCAAACTAGCAAAGGGCTTTTCAGAGAAGGGTAGAGAATTCTAGAAGGTTCATGGGCCTATGACTGGGGAGCAGAAACCAGAGCAAAGCCACCCAACCATGAACCTGGAGGGAGGAATACCCTGCGTGGGGACTTCTCAGACCCTCTCAGCTGGAGAGACTGTTCCATCAGCTGCCCAGATAACTCTCATAAGACAGCTAGCACCCTCTACCCTGTAGTTTTTGTTTATGTACATGGCTCTCCACCCCCATCCTGGCCAGCCTACTCCTCAATCCTAGAATAGGCTCTATGTCTTGATACTTCTGCTGTCATTCATTCAGTCTTTTTCTTTTCTTTCCTTTGAAATAGTTTTTGGACCACAGCTGGAGGTGCTCAGGGCTTACCCTGACTCTGCACTCAGGGATCACTCCGGGTGATGCTCTGGAGACCATATGGGATGCCAAGGATCAAAGCCCTGTTGGCCATGTGCAAAGCAAATGCCCTGCCACTGTACTATCACTATGGTCCTCATTCAGTCATTTTACTTCCTCAATAAGGACTCCTTCTACATGCAGAACAGCTTGAGAAGCTGGGTTTGTGAATTAGACAGCCAACTACAACTGCTTTCATTTGTTTTGCCAACATGCCCATTCTTGTACAGGCACACAGGAATGCTTGATAAAGACCCCCTATAAAGAGCAATCAAGCCAACAAACAGGCGTAAGCAGCCTTAACCTCAGAGAAGGATTGCTACAGAGTGTGCCCAGGTATTTGGGTCCCCTTCAGTCACCTCTTCCTCCAGAAGTCAGTTAAGACAGGATCCAGTAGTGAGCAGAATCTTCCTAGCACTACCCCAGCACAGATGCATTACCAAAGAGATGTCAGTACCTGCCCAACCTCTGCAGCTAGCAGGACCACCTCTCCTCAGCATGGTACCTCTCCTACCGAGAGTGACAAGGAAAGGTGGCCTCAGAATGCATGACTCCACAGCTCTCCTAATACAGCTTTCCAGAACTTTTCATCTCAAAAAGGAATAGAGCTATTGAAGTTGCTGCAGGTACTCTAATTTCACTGATCAGGGTTCTTCATTTCCTCTGTTCTATTCTTGACAGCAAATGAGCTTACAAGGTTCTATGAATATTGTCCTGACTGTTTATGGCAGGACAGACCATGACCGTGAAGCAGTGATTTACCTCACTCTGCTCATGAGCATGTGTACTTTTCTTCTGATTTCTCCTCAGTAGTATGTTTCCTTTGTCCACTATGAAATCGCTCCCATGTGGTTGGAAGTACATATCACATGTTGGCAAAGCTGTTGTTAATATCTTAGAGAAAAAAAAAGAAGTGCATTTTAAGAATCAAAGACAAGTTCCAGTTATATCTGAATTGAGTTTCAGATTTTATCATTTAAAAGGTAATCATCATTCTTTTTAATAACCCCAGAAAGAAGTCGTGGAGGCAGTTTCTAATTGTTCTTAAGGACGGGGAAGACTGGGTGGTGGTGTGACCTTTTTGTTTTTGTTTCTTTTGTTGTTTTCTGGGCTGGAGCGATAGCACAGCGGGTAGGGTGTTTGCCTTGCACGCAGCCAACATGGCTGACCTGAGTTCGATTCCTCCGCCCCTCTCAGAGAGCCCGGCAAGCTACCGAGAGTATCTCGCCCACACGGCAAAGCCTGGCAAGCTCCCCGTGATGTATTCGATATGCCAAACACAGTAACAACAGAGTCTCCAATGGAGATGTTACTGGGCCCGCTCGAGCAAATCAATGAACAATGGTAGGACAGTGACAGTGACAGATTTGTTCTTTTCTATAGGGGCCGAGGTAAGGGCGAGGTGGTGCCTGGCCACACACATATTCGGCCTGTGCTCCAGCATCATCCTGGTCTCTGGTTTTCCTTTTTTTAATGGGTACTACATCATTAAAATGCTAAACTAGGAAAAGATACTGTGTGTGTGTGTGTGTGTGTGTGTGTGTGTGTTTGTCTGTGTGTTTAGTCTTTTTTTTAAAAAAAAATCACAAATGTGCTTCCATATGAAGTTCTTGAGAAGAAATTTGTAGAAAATCCAAAATAGGTATGGGCTAGAGATGCAAACAACTTATTAAACCATGTTATTATTATTATTGTTGTTGTTGTTGTTGTTATTTTATAGATTTCAAGCCAATTGTTCTTGATTCTCAGTATCCAGGAGCTGATCTTACTAGTTCTTTCCAGAGATTGTACCAGGACAGCCTATTTTTACCACAAACAGTATTCCCAAATTGTATATAATCACTCAGAGATCTTGTTAACATGCACAACTGACTCAGGAGGCCTGGGATAGGGCTTGAGATTACCCAAATCTAATGAAGTCCCAGCTGGACACTCTACTGATGATGAGTGCTTAGTTCCATGACACTACTGTTCCCTCTCAGCTTCCTGTCAAACTCTAGCTTGTTATTTGTACTTCTTATGGACTGATTATAATTTGGGTTTCTATGACCCTTGGGCTTGATAATTAAGAAGGCTCACAGAACTCAGGGTAAAGCTAATGTTTAGAGGAAATCTGACATAATCACAGGATGCAATTAGATGAAGTTGATGTTGATGACTGGAATTTCCAGATGTGGGAGCTTGTGGCCCTGTGGAATGTGGGCATGCCACCTATCTGGTAGCATAGGTGAATTCATCACCCTGGATGCCCTTTGAAGACCATACTTCTGAAATTTTTTCATGGTGGCTTTGCCACATGTTGATATGCTCAATCATTAACCCATATCTAGTGCCCCTCCACTTCCTTGAGAAGGGGGGTGGGGCTGAACATTCCAAGCTTCTAATCAGGATTTGGTTTTCCTGGGGGCCACTCCCTCCAGGAGCTTGCCCAGAGCAGTCTCAGAACAAAAGATTTTGCTATCACCCAAGAAATTCCAAGGGGCTTAGGAGGTACTAGGGTCAAAGAGCAAATTTGGGGTGGGGGGAAAAAGATGCCCCTAGAAAGCACTTAGATAATTATAAAGCTTAAAAAAGAAGAGAAAAGAAAATTAGAAAAATCTTAGGAGCTCCATTATAGGAAACAGAGGCCAAGGTCAATCAATCTATCAATGTATCTAACTATTATTCCATGACAGGACAAAATATAAATTGTAGTAGTGTTCTATTTTTCTTTCTGGAGTTAGCATAATGACACACACACACTCTCTCTTTCTCTCTCTTTTTCTGCCGTCATCATAAAGATACATGGAAAAGTGAAATCTTGCCTTTTCCTACAACATGGACATTGAATGGACTTGTTAAACAAATTAAGTCAGGAGAAAGAAAATGCCAATCATCTCACTCATATGTGATAATATAGTTAAGCAAAACAAGGGAAAAAAATAATGTTCCATGAAAACAAACCTCTCACCGTGAGGTTACCAAGATCAGTGTTGGGAGGCGAGAACTGGGCTGAAAGAGTGCTATGGGCCAAGGCAGAGGTTTATTGGCAGTTTCTTTGGGTGTGGTATAGTATCACTATACTCCTAAAATATGTAAACACTTTCTTGGAAACAAATAACACCTCATAATTTTGCATTAAATAAATAAAAATCTTGACCAAGAATCCAGATATGTGAGCATTTCATTTCGAAACTACCCACTATAGTTGTGCTTTGCACCAATAGCAGTCAGAAAAAGAGCAAATTCCAGGCCTTTATGGAGCCCTCCCATCTTTCCCACTAACAGTATCTGGGTAAGGAAAAGATCTCTGGACCTGATTTAGTCACTGCGAGTTAGAATGAGTTCCACCATTTTCTATCTGAATCTTGTCTTCAAAATTCCCTTCCACATGCTTCACTATTTCTCTACTTCCAGGCTTCTGCTTGAGAAAGTTTCCAGAATCAGCATGATGTGTGTTTGCTTGTGTTCACAAGACTTTTGAAAACACAAAGAAAAAATAAATCCTGTGACTTCCAGGAAATGACAGAGGTGCCAAGTGACATTTGCAATCACACCCTTCTGTGAACATCATTGACGTCAAGAACCAAGAACCGATAACCTGAGCTTAGGGGTCCAGAGAACACTTTCTGCATTTCCTTTATTCATTACAGAGATCAATGCAACCAGGATAAATGGGGTGCATGCCAACTTCCCCCTCATGGTTTCTAGTGCCTTACAGGCAGGTAGTTAGTTGTTCAGTGAACACATTCTATCCAAGGGAAACATAAGGAGAAAAAATGAAGTCCATCTTCATCACAATGTAACTCAACTCTGTGCTGAACTCTACAAGAATCAGGATACAAAGAGGAACAAAATGCAGGTTCGGTCTACTAAAATTATGTGATGTTTAGCTTTGTGGTGTAATAAACTCTGATTTACATTTGTGGGCAAAATCTGTCTTTTCCAGGAACCTGGGGTGTAACTCATATAGTCACATAGTTTTACATGTGTGAGGTCCTGGGTTGGAGCCCTGGCACCACATGACTCCCCAGCTCTGCCAAGTATGGTCCTGGAGCATGAGCCAAAGGGCCTAAACATCCTCCACCCTTCCCCCCAAGATAAACAAATAAATCACTTCTTTTCCAGGTACCTTAGCCATGATTTTAAGAGCATGTTTTGTGTATTTACCAACAGTATATCAATTGACATATGTAAAGAGATGAAAAAAAAAACCTGAAATACGAACCAAAGGTGCAAGTTGCTGGAGTGGCATAGCTTCCTCTGCCTCATAGAGATAGAAAGTCAAAGGAGCAAAGAAATAGCCAGGGGCTGGCTTTGTGCAGGTCCGGCCAGTGATGTCTGGGCGGCATTCACACTGCCCAGTCTGGGGTGAGCACCTAGGAAGAGCAAAATCCATCAGGAAAAATCACGGAAGAGGTGAGTACAACATGAAGACAGCAGGTACTAGGCTGAATGATCTCTGAGTGTGACCCTTATTTATTTATTTATTTATTTATTTATTTATTTATTTGTTTTTAGTTGATCAATGGTTTGTCTTATGGCTGTTGAGAGGCACAAGCTTTGCATATTTGATCTCGAGAAGCAAATTCAGATCCAGGAAGCTTGAGGAGCCACTTTTTTTCTTGGCAGCTCTAGGATTCTGCTCGAAACACTGGGAGGCAGTTCAAAGGGCAGAGCACAGAGTTTGCAGGTGAAAACCCCAGGTTTGATCCCCAGCACCACATGGTTCCCAGAGCACTATGACAGGAGTAGACCCTGAGCACCACTCGGTGTGGTTCACCACTAAACCAAGAAAGTTGTTATTTTGTTATTTACAAATCTTATATACAGGGTGGAAAAAAGTTGGGTGTTTTAGGCAGGTTAAATCAGACATTTTTAGGCATCTATTACTTCATGAAGTATGCAGGCTGAAAAACTACTTATATCACCCTTCAAAATATTTGAAATAAAATAAATTGATTGGGCTGTAGTTCATGTCTCAAGATTGTTGCTTTTCAACATTCTTTGCCTAGCATGAAATACTACAACTGCCCCTACAACCAAGAGCATATGAGAAGAAAATGTAATGTTTTTTTTCTTTTTTGGTAGGGAGAGGATTGACAACTACTTCACAAAATTGTTCAGCTTCCTGACTTACGCATTAGAATAAGCACCTCCAACATCACAGCCACAGGGAGAACAAGCACGGAGATGATTTTCTAGTCCCCAGTATCCAACCTACCAAGAAAAAATGCTCAAGTGAGGGCAGATCTGGATCTGAGGATATTTGCTTCTTTGAAGTCTAATAATAAGATCACTATTATTTAGCTAATGCACATCCAAGAACCAAACAGCTGGAATAGTCACACAGGGAGCTTTCCTGTCTTAGTAATGATCTCCAATCAACACTCCTGCTCCCAAGATTTGTAGCGAAGGAGTTGGGCATCTTATCTGTATATTGTTTCAAGAGGAGATGGGTTGCAAAGCACAGAATTACTCTGACAGTACCCACTGAGCCTCAAGTGGGCTGCTGACGTTCTTCTACTGACAACTGCATTGATGAGACCAACAGATTCCCTCACTACAAAATCTGTAGGGAGTTTTACTTACACAACACTGAGATGCTTGGGGGATAAAAACTCAGCCAAGCTGATTCTGAGCTGAAATATGCCTAGCTCAGTTTAGGAGCGTTGTTCCTTTTTAAATAAGTTGTTTTGGCATGGCAGGCCGCATGAGAGAACAGTTCTGTGGTTCAAGACGTTTTCATCATTGCAACATCTTGACCTTTGTTCAGCATAAACAGCTGGTGAGACAGAAAGAACTATTTCTTCAGTCTGATAGCACTGACTATAAAACTCACAGAGAAAAAAAAAGCCTTGCTCTTCAGATCTTAATTTAATATGACCAGTTAAGGATTGCAGAGATAGCACAGGGATGTAGATGCTTGCCTTGCATACAGCTGACCTTGGTTAGATCCCTTGCACCACATATGGTCGTCTGAGCCCTGCATGAGTGACCCCTAAGCATAGAGCCAGGAGTAAGCCTTGAACAGCACTGTGTGTTTGCAAAATGTGCTCTGTGTGTGTGAGTGTATATATATATATATAGAAATTCGGATAGAATTAGCTTAAATGCTTTTTTTTTTTTTTGCTTTTTGGGTCATACCTGGCAATATATAGGGTTCACCTCCTGGCTTTGCATTCAGTAATTACTCCTGGCAGTGCTCAGGGGACCATATGGGATGCTGGGAATCAAACATGGGTCGGCCGCATGCAAGGCAAACACCCTACCCGCTGTACTATTGCTCCAGCCCCAATAATTCAAAACTCATAGTAAAAACCAGCTTATAAGAATTCCCTCCTCCGAGACTGGAGCAATTGCCTCCACCCTCCGTCATTTTTGTCTTGCAAACAGAATGGAGTTCAGGACACCATTTCTCCTGTCAGTGAAATCAGTCAGACTCTGAGATTTGTGGGGAAGGGTCTGCCGTAGTGTCTTTTGGGGTTTTGTAAGGCTAGTCTGCAACTCCTCTCGGGGAGCCCCACAGACTCACCAAGCAGGCCGTGATTTTACCTGGCCTGGCCTGTGTAACAAGAGTCAGTTCCAGTGACTTTCCTCTTTCCCTTCCAACCCCCTCCTCGGCCTCATGCTCATATGTTTTCAGTAAAATGACTTCAAAATATTAGCACAAAACTATGTCCTAGAGGAGGCAGCTGTTTCTTATTTATTGGCTACATTTCTTCAGACAACATCAAGGTCACTGTTCTTTTATTAGGCTAAACCGTTGTTTTTTTTTGTATTTTCTTTCTAAAATGTCATGGGCGGGGTGGGGGTGGGGTGATTGCTTGGAATGGAGAACAAAAAATAAATGGATAATAATTTTTAGAAAGCAATGAAAAAGTTGGGCTTGAACCCCTTAATTGCATGACACATTTCTTAAGGGGAGAAGCATGTTCCATTTCACCGTGGAGACAGGCATGCTCATAGATTTCATGGAGTCAGTGAACCAGCCCAGAGTTTATTTCCCACAGGAATCTATGCTACATTTAAGCCTAAGCTTTTTGTTTTGTTTTCTAATGAGCTCCTTCCAGCTATTAGTCTGGTCCGGGAACAGAGGGAATGGCAAGAGGATTGTATGCAAGAGGTAGAGTGGCCACCCCCAGCCCTCCAGGATCTGGTGAATGAAAAAAGGAGGCAGATAAACAGATTAAATTCTACCTTTTCGTACTTTCCAAAGGACAATGGATAAAACCAATGATATCTGTGCCGGCGGGCAATTCAGCCCACTGCAGTGCTTTGCTGGTAAATGTTTAAGCAACAACTCTTTGCAGGAGAGCCAGAGCTGATTTATACTGTTTACTGATTTCTGTCAAGTAAATACTTTTCTACAGAAGTATCTAGAGATAGAGAGGAGGACACAGAGAGCAATGAACAAGACTGGTGGGCGTTGTTCTGCTCTGTAGAAATCTGCACCTCTAACTGGGAGGGAAAGAGAAGGCTGATACATACGATGCATTCTTCACAGCGCGGTCCAGTGGCAAACGGTTGGCATAGACACTGGCCTGTGTCTGCATCACAGGTGGAGAGTGGCAGGCTCCCCCAGGAGTGGCAGTTGCAGGCTGAAAGCACAGCATATATAATGACTCTCATTTTTATTTCCTCACTCTGGCCAGTGCAGTTCTGAGCCCACTGAACAGAATCCGCAGCCGCAGGAACACAAAGCAGCCGACCCTGACAAGCTCATGGTCTGGCTAAGTGAACCAGTACTGCACCCAACACTGCCCAGGAAATCCTGTGCCTGCCCAAGCCATGCCCCCCCCCCCCCCCCCCCCCCCGCAGTTCAGCTGGATGGCAAAGAGGAGACAAGACCATGGCGGAAGCAGTTCCAGCTGGAGATGCTGAGATGCTTGGCAGGCTGGGTGAAGTATAAGGGGAAGCATATAATACTGACCCTTTTCTATCAGCTGGTTTTATAGCGCAATGTTTCCAAGGCCCAGCATACTATAACCTATGTAAAGATTTCTTTCTTTTTAAAATCTCGGTGATATTCCTCATTGTCTTTGCCACAGTTTGGTGGCGGGGGCATATTTAGCTGTGCTGGAAGTTATTCTTGGAGTTGCTTGGGGAACTATCTGGTGCAAGAGGTTCAAACTGGAAGTCCTTCGTGCAAAGCATGTAGTTTAAAGCTTCAAAAAATCTTGCTGACCCTAAGCCATCACTTGATCACTTGATCACTTGATACCCATTATTCATCGATTTACTCGAGCGGGTGCCAGTAACGTCTCCATTCATCCCTGTTGCGTGCTAGCGTAGCCCAATGGCATCTGCTCATTCTAGGAACATGCAGAGCCTCAAACTGATTATTCAGGGTCTTGACGAAGAAGTCTGACCATCTTGTAGGTGGGCGTCCATGCAATCTTTTGACGTCCTGTGGAACCCTATGCCATATTTCTAAAAAATCTCTTCACTCACCAATGGACATTTGTATTGTTTGGGGCTATTGTTCATATGTTGTTATGCATGTGAAAATACAAACATCTCTTTCATCTTATGGGTACATGGTCCAAAGCAAAGAATGAGGTTGTGGTGATGGTCACAGAAGTCTGAATATACTAAAAGTAGTACATTCACACTTCAAAGAGTGATGTATAATATGTGAGCTGCATATCACATAAACTTGTTACAAGACAAAAAATAAGACTTCTAATTAAAAGACATTGCTTGGTCTATACACGAAGGATAGAGGGTTAGTCAGCAGGGCAGGGACCCCCATGGCATGCAAAAAGGTGTGATGGAGATTGGTATAATACTTACCTAGCAATTTGAATTTGCCATCAAACCCAAGAACAGCATTTTATTAAAGAAAGATTTGGCATACAGCTTTCTTCTCCCCCCCCCTTCCCCCATGCACCTAACTTTCTAAACATGCAAATAACATGCAGTTCCTTATAAGGACAAAATTACAGAGTAAGACACTGTGGCCAAAGGAAAATTATTTACCAGATTCCCGAAGGAATCTGCAGCTTTATGAGGTCCCAAGAGAATAAATTATTATTTTTCTACAGTTCAGGGTCTTCCTGATTGGCTGGAGAAGTCTCTGAGGTTCTTTCTATTTATCTATGACCCCTTCCTTAGTTCTTCCAGGTCCCCCCACTTCCCAGCCCCCCCCCCACACACACACCCCACCCCTTTCTCTTTCTCTGAAAATACTCTCCACAGGACCACTACTAGGAATGGTGGGAGAAGGGAACCAGCTATTTTAAAAAAAAGAAAAAGAAACCACTACTGAAGATTGCCTAAGAAGTCATCAATGCATCAAAAGTGCTAACTGCATTTTGATGAATTTGTATAGAAGAGTTCTAGTGGAGACTTCTAAAGATTTCACAACTTGGCATTGCATTTCTTGCCACATTACCGAGATGGTACCAGTGAGGAAAATGTGAGTGCCCCCTGCCGGACCTTTGTGACAAGTGCATGAAACTAACTAGCCCTTCCCCATAGCCTGCCCCTCCCCCCCCCCCCCCCCCCCCCACACACACACACACACTAACTTAATTTACCTGGAAATTCTGCATCCCTTTTCAAGAACGATATTTTAGGGCTAACCAAGATAGCCCTAGAGTTTAAAATACCATTACATGGGTTGGTAGCCAGACAACACGAACTTACGCTGACAGCCCAGGGAATCAGTGGCGCTCAGTCCATAGTAGTGTGGCTTGCACCGGTCACACTTGGCTCCTTCCACGTGCTCCTTACACAGGCACTGGCCCGCCACAGTCCCCAAGGCAGGATCTGAGTGGCTCACACAAATACCACCTGATATGGTCCCATCAGGGTCGCACTCACAAGCTGGAGACATAGATATGCATGATCTCAGTTCAGCACACATTACGGAAAATTTGACAAACAAATATAGCTTTTGTCACTCTGCCACTAATTTGTAGCTCTGTCACTGTAGCACTGTTCTCCGGTTGTGCGCCCAGTAATGTCTGCATTGTGAGACTTGTTACTGTGTTTGGCTGGCCTGGAGGACTGTTCTCCTTATGAGCTCCTTGAGTCTGATACTATTTCAGGCAATCTCTCCAACAAAGACCCCAACCAGGATGTTGAAACTTCCACCAACTGAGCTCTTTGCAACCTATTAATTTCCTTCTCTTGTTCTAGTAGCTTAAATGTTCTCTTTCAATTCCAGAAAACTCTTTACATCTCTCTCCCTCTTCCCCTGGCCCCAAACATGCACAAAGTTCTTCTAGAAAATTCTAGCACACTGATCTGTCCAATTGCCACCTTGATGATTTTAGGAAAGTAGGCAACAAACAAAAAGCAATTTATGCTGAGGCACTGTATCCAATGGACAAACTCTTCTTCATTTCCTGTCCTAAGATGAATATCTAGGACAGGGAGATTAAGCAAAGCAAAGTGTCAGTACAGGATCTTGAAGATGGTGCTGGTGCCTGGAACCATATATGACTAAATATGACAGTGAGAAAAAGGAGGCTCTGGGGAGACCAAGTTTACAAATAAGATGATAAGTAAAGATGGGATATAAGATTTATTATGCAGGGATACCGCAGTATAGCAGAATGTGAAGTTTATGTGTTTATTTAGGTTTTGATTTAGCTGCCTACAAGTCGGGGCTGGAGCGATAGCACAGTGGGTAGGGCGTTTGCCTTGCACGTGGCCTACCCAGATTCGATTTCTTCGCCCCTCTCAGAGAGCCCGGCAAGCTACCGAGAGTATCTTGGCCTCACAGCAAAGCCTGGCAAGCTACCCGTGGTGTATTCGATATGCCAAAAACAATAACAAGTCTCACAATTTGTTGTGAGACGTTACTGGTGCCTGCTCGAGCAAATCGATGAACAATGGGAGAACAGTGCTACAGTGCAGTGCTACAGTGTTTGGCATATCGATACTCTTGGTAGGTTGTCGGGCTCTCTGAGTGGGGAGGAGGAATTGAACCCGGTCCATCTGTGTGCAAGGCAAACCCCCTACCGCTGTTCCAATAATTTACTTTGTTTTAATTATTAAATAAGTTTGAGGGTAGGAGCAATAGTACAGCAGGCAGGGTGTTTGCCTTACACATGGTCGACCAGAGTTTGATCCCCAGCACTATATATGATTTCCTGAGCCCCGCCAGAAGTGATCCATGAACGCAGATCCAGGAGTATGTTATAAGAACTGCTGGGTTGCTGCCACTCACCCACCCCCCCCCATCAAAAAATAAACAAACAAAAATAAAACCAATCCCCAAAATTTTATTATTCAATAAGTTCGAGTTATATCAGTGAGCATGAGTTTTTTAGAAATGTGTCCTGGACCTCTATTCTTAGAAACATATATATAGCACTTAAGTTATCTTAAAGTAAAAAAGAAAAGGGTCTGGAGAGATAGTGTAGGAGGTAAGGTACTTGCCTTGCATATGGTCAACTTGCATATGGTCCCCTGAGCACTGCCAGCAATAATCCTTGAACACAGAGCCAGGAGTAATCCCTAAGTACCACAAGGTGTGCCCCCCTAATCAATCAATCAATCAATCAAATAAAAGAATCAGAAAATATTGCAATTGCAAAAACTAAATTTAGTAGTAGGTTCTTTGGGGGGCTATGAAAGATTTTAGAGCCAGGAAAAGGGGAGATTATATAATATTGTACCCGTAAATTATTGTTCAGTTTTTGAATGATTTTGTATAATGTGAATTGTATTTCAACAAAAGACAAAGAATACTCTAAAAATTAAAATAAGGGTAAGACAAGAGTGAGATGTAGTCACACACATATAAATTAAATACATTCATACATGTATAGAGGTTATGTATTAACCTCTATACATATATGAATATTAAACAAAAATATATTAAAGGCATCAAGAGATATAGAAAGAAAAAACTCACATAAAATGCCTATCAAATCTGTGAATCATGGTTAAGAAAATAAGTCTGTTCTTCCTCATCATAGAAAATAAGTGTCAGGGGAAGTGTTGTTATTCCTGTTTCCTCCAGCAAGACTTGCTCATATCTTGCTTTCTTTTCAGAAATCTGCTAGCGGGACAAAATATTGGATAAAGAGATTCTAGAAAAGAAAGGGACAGATATAGAATGACTGCATTCATTTGTGATATATATATATATATATATATATTAGAAGAAGAATATCAGAAACCCCAATTTACCAAAGGGTAAACAGGGGTTAGGAGGGCTGGTCAATGGTTGGAACTAACCACAAATGTAGGTAGTGTAGAGAAGAGACCAGTTTGACAATAATAGCTGGGAATGGTCATGCTGGACAAGATCTAAGGGTTAAAATTAGGTAAAGGGATATTCTTGATAACCTTTCAGTATCAATATTGCAAACCACAATGCCCAAAAGGAGAGAGAGAGTGAGAGCGAGAGGGGGAGAGAGAGAGAAAGAGAGAGAGAGAGAGGCAGATGGGGGGGGGGTTGATGGGAGGGAGCCTGAGGACACTGGTGCTGGGAAATGTACACTGGTGGAGGGATGGGTGTTGAAATATTGTATCACTGAAATTAATCATGAATGGTTTTGTAATGCTCTATCCCACAGTGATTCAATAAAAGTCTTAAAAAAAAAGTTATTCTGGAAAATTTAGTAAACAGTCACATGCAAAAAAGGAGAGATGAAAGTAGTAGCCCCTCCCCCCTCCTTTTATTTTGTGTAGACTAAAGTCCGGGAAAGAGTGCAGTATGGAAAAGGATGCTGATAGTATCAGTAACTTCAGAGGGCAGGAGTTACAACAGATGAGACTAATTATAAGAGTCTGATTAGCGCATAGAAGAACTCTAGCAGTGAAGTCTCCCAACAGATCACTCCCCCACTCATCACTGGCAACCTTCTGGGGGAGACTGGAGCAGCCCTGCTGGATCTTTGACATTGAGGACTAGGGCATTCATGGCATTTGATGCCACCGAGGCTCTCATATATGTGGTGCTCTGTCTTCAAGGCATTTGCCCCACTTTCCCTGTTATCCTTTTGGCTTGGGGGCCAGACTTGGCTGTGTCAGAGACTACTCCTGGCTCTTTGTTCATGGGTCACTCCTGGGGTTTGGGAGTCCAAAATCATCTGTGGTGCTGGGGATCAACCTCCAGTCAGCTATGTGCAAGACAAACAACATAATCCACGAAGGATTTCTCTTCTCTGGTCCGGACATTTGCTCCAGTTAAAAAAAAAATGCACTAAAGATAGAAAGTGACTATCCTATTTTTTTTTTTAATGTAGGAGTACTGCTATTTATTCAGCCACTGATTGGCTGATTGAATTGGGCATGAACTCCACGACTATTCTATTTTTAAGGGCCATTTTATTTACATTTATGTGTTTGCTTTGCATTACAAAAATAATACTCTCCAGTCAAATGATAGTACCGAATAGCCTCTGAGGTCAGTGGGAAAAAATCCAGTCAAACCAGTTGTTTGATGTCATTGAAGCAAACCTTGCTTCTCTGACAGAATTTTTCATTTTCTAATTGTTACTGGATTGTGACTGGTGATAAAATCTTACTATGGAAAAAGCAGCATTAGGTTCTGTTACATTTGGAAAATTGCTCACTTCACTTCTAATTAAAGCTGGTTGCTTTTAGAAATGAAGACACAAATTGGGCTCATTTCAGAGAAGTAATTAAAAAAAGTTCAGCTTTGTTTGGGAGACACACCAAAGGGCCAGCATTGAGTTCCGCAGTATAATTGAATTATGTAGAGGAGTATATCTCGGATGGGAACATAAATGAGTAAGCAACTAGCCTTACTTTTAAAATTTTTTTTAATTTATTTTATTTTATTTAGTTTTTAACTTTTTTTTTTTTAATTTTTGGTTACACCTGGCAATGCTCAGGGGTTACTCCTGTCTCTGCATTCAGGAATTACTTCTGGTGGTGCTCAGGGCACCATAAGGGATGCCTGAGTTTGAACCCGGGTCAGCCACATTCAAGGCAAACACCCTAACCACTCTACTACAGCTCCGGTCCTATAGCCTTACTTTTAAATAATCCTAAATCAAGGCTTCTAGGCTAGCAGTTTGATAAAATTTTGTGGTGTTTATAATTTAATTTTAGCAAACTTTCATGAATCAGTGGTTGAGTCTGCCAAATCTTTTCCTGTATTTTTCCTGTGTTATATTGATTGCACTTTAGTCATAAAAGACTTATAATTAGTTTGATCTTAGGCTTGGAATCAGTTTATGTAAATATTTAGGCTCAAACCAGGCTCACTTATATGAGATTTCTAATAAATCTTAATACATGCTGTTTGTATATACACATTTAAACATACATAAACATACAGTTCAGTAAACTGGGAAAAATTGGGAAATCTCACAATGGAAGCATTTGTTGTATGTGTGTGTTGCCAGGGGGAAGGAGGGGAGTGGGCATATCCCAGACTACTGAAGGACTAATTTCTAATTCTTAATTTTGTGCTCAAGAGTGACTATGTGGTACTGGGGATTTGAACCAGGGTTGACCTGATGCCTGACAAATAACTTATCTTCTATGCTATTTCTTTGGTCCCATCATGATGGTAGTTTTTAATAAGTTCCTCATCTGTCTTTCCTTGAGAAACTTGTTTACAAAAAAATGACATCTCTTCAGAGGTTCTAGTTTTCTTACCATGATTTACCTCAAAAGCCATTAAGTTAAAACTAAACAGTTTTTAAGAAACAAGACTTGGGTCAGAGTGATAGTATAGTGGGTAGGGTGCTTGCCTTATACACAGCCTACCTGGATTCAATCTCTAACACTATATATGGTCCCCTAAGCCTTGCCAGGAGTAAACCCTGAATGCAGAACCAGGAGTAAGCCCTGATCACTGCTGGATGTAGCCCAAGAAGCAAAGATAAGAGAAATAAACAAGACTAGTGTATAAGTTAGGACATTTGGTTTGATTATTTGCAAATCTCTTTCCAGATCCTATTTTATCTGTTTCAAAACATTGTATTTTCCTGATTCAACTCCAGAGAGCAATTTAATATCCAAAAACATACATGACTCTTAAAACTTTAATTAATAGTGTGCATATGTGTGTATGTATGTGTGTGTATGTTATAGGTTCCTGTTTTTTAAAAAGTGCAGCACTTAGGGCAGTGATTTAAAGAAAGTTTCTGGGAATTCAGTTATTCAGTTCTTTGTATCAATTTAATGCATTTGGAGTACTGAGTTAAGGCTGTGTTAGATGCTATTTTATATATTCTGATTATATAAAGTTTGAGCTTTCATTTCATAATAGAAATGAAAGCTCCTAGCTTTCATTTCATAATAGAAATGAAAGCTCCTCCCTATATATATTGACATTATATTAGTGATACAGCCGGAGATGGATTTCTCCCAGTATGGAGAAATCCAGCTGCTTAGGCATGTGATCATTTTTGTTGAGTACCCCAAGAATGCAAGGCCCTGGATATTCTTTACCCAGGTTATTTCTTGGGGGTTCTGCCTACAGCAGGCTACCTTGAGGAAAAAGATAACATCCTCCCTCTCCCCCTCAGACAAAGAGCTTGTTTCTGGTTGCAATAAATAAATTCAATGAATACTCTAAGCTCAGGGTTCCTTGGCTGTGACTTAAACTCATTCCATGTGCAGCATGCATCTGGTATCTTTGTTTTATCCCCTTGGGACTTGGGGCTTAGGGATATGGGAACTCACTCCAGTACAAACATCTTATTGTTTCTGTGTCATGAGTAATAAAGTCCTTTGTGTTTGATCCAGGAGTTTGATGTCTCCTACCAGCACCCATGAAACATTAATAGTCTGAAGTGCTAGCAGGTAGGTTAGGAACTCAGGCACTAGGCATTTATTATCTGACTGGAATATTTATCTATGAGATGCTGGGACTGGAATACTGCAAGCAAGGTGTCTATGGCTTGAAATTTAAGAAGACCTTCTGTTACTGCAAGTGGCAAGTGTTAACCCAGTACTAGCATGATTCTGAGAGTGAGTGAATGCTTCCTTCACTTTGGTGCTTTGCTGGTGTCACTCCAGATTCATTCCTTCAGAGAAATGCAAGCCCAAACCAATCAGGAGCTATCATTTAATTTGCAAGAACTAAAAGTGTGACAGAAACCAAGTGTGTTTGCCAGGATAGAAAATAATGGGAATGTTTCTAGATTCTGGGTTTAACTTAATTAGTACAGTCCCATATGGGGCAATTTAATAATACCTAGTCAACATGAAGAAATACAAACTCTCTGCTTCAGTGACTTCACTCCTTAGAGACAGTCATGATTCAAATGCACAAGACTGTGTCTACGAGAAGATAGATATATTGCAGTATCAAGAGAGAAACAAAAATTCTCTTTTGTCCTATTCTTATGAGGAATATTATGCAGAAATTAAAACTGGCAAGCCAGGGCTGCCAGTTCTTGACAAATCTTAAAAATAGAACGTTAATTGGAACACTCAAGGCAACCTACAACATAGTCTCATTTATCTAAAGTTTGGAAGCAGGCCAACACATATTGTTTGTAGATCAAAATCGGGAATGCACATGTAAAAACCAACATAGTGATGATGAATGGCCACCTGATCCCCTTTATGCCCAGGTAGGAGGGGAAGCAAATGGTACAGAAGGACACCTGGGCCCTGCATTAGTATCCTGAAGGGGACCGGGCAAGAGAATGGCATTTTGACAAAGCTGGAGGTTTGTATCATGGGGTATTCGATGTTCTTTACTCCTATACATGCCTAAAATAATTCAGTTGTAAGAACTGAGAAATTAGTCTGTTCTCTCTCTCTCTCTCTCTCTCTCTCTCTCTCTCTTTTATTTTTTAATTTTTTTTGCTTTTTGGTTCACACCTGGTGATGCTGGGGGTTACTCCTGGTTCTGCATGCAGGAATTACTCCCAGAATTGCTTGGGGATAACATATGGAATGCCAGGGCTCTAACCTGGTTGGGCATGGCAAACAAATCGCCTACCTGCTGTGCTATTACTTCGGCCCCTCTCTCTCTTGAACCCATGTCTTTTGTGGCTCACTTTTTCCTACTTTGGAGAAGCCTGTGATCTCTCTTGAACACTTATTTCCTTCCTCTCTTCAATAAAAAGAAATGATTTGCTTCACTTAAAAAAAATCAAATTGAGAAGTTAAATGAAGTTTTGGGTTTTGGTTTGGCCTTCCAAGGGTTACTTAGGAGGTCCCAGGAGGCCCACTGAACTGTTGACCTGCCTGCAGTTAAGTGCTAGGAAGATCAGGTGCTGCTCAGGGCCTGGCTTGCCCAGGATAGTGCCGCCAAGCCTGTCAAGCTCTGAAGCCTCCAGGGGTGCACCCCAGAGAAATGGGGACCTGATAATGCCCAGGTCTGTTGCTTGCATGGTATGCGCCTTAACACCTGTTCTTTCTCCCCAGCCCTAAAAGATTTTTAAATCTTAAAAATAAGGGTAAGAACTCATGTGCCTTATGGTGCTCAGGAATTTATGTGTGTATGTGTGGGGGGGGGAGAGGGGGTGGAGGGTTGTTGCTAGCTAATTAGGCAGGCGGTTCAGTGCAAGGGCGGGGATACAACGGCTATTGGGGACCTTCAGTGCTGGGGATACTCAGGTCACCCTGGGTTGCTGAGGGCAGGACCTGGCTCTAGGGCTGCATGAGTTGATGCTCCGGGAACCATTTGATGGTTGGACTCAAACCCTGGGTGTAAACACGCTAGGTTGTGCCCTAAACACAGTTCCATCTCCCAGCCCCAAGTCTCATGAATCTGGAGGCATCTCAAGCCAGTCCCGTGCAGCCCCCGTGCGGAGCTCCAGGAACCTTGGGCTCACTGACGTGTGACCAACCCGGTCCCATTCCCCTCCAGCTGGGGTCCCCACTAATACCGCGCGCAGACACCCCAGGGGCTGAAGCCCGAGCAGGACTCACGAAGGCACGTGTAAGGGTCGGAGAGGGGCCTGCTGGGGTTCCTGTAGAAGAGGGGTCTGCAGCGCTCGCAGTGCGGTCCCTCGGTGTGGTGCTGGCAGTCCTCGCACACGCCCCCACTTAGACCACCGCTCGCCACGTACCGGGACCTGTCAAAGTGACAGCGCTGGGCGTGGTGGTTACAGCGACAGGCTGCGGGGGACAGAGATACTGAGTCAGGACCCGGTGCCGGCCCCTCCCAACACCGCTTGCAAATAGACGCTCCCAAGGGACCGTTCTAGCACTTTAACTCAGTTCATAAGCTAGATAAAACCATGTTCCTGAAACGTTTAATATCTACTAAAAAAAAAAACACAAAACAAATAACAACAGCAACAAAATCATCAGAGTGAGCTAGAGGCCACAGTACTGTTAGGATGTTTTGTCAGCAATGCTTTCTTGTTCTGTAAAGAACCCCTTCCTGACCCAGGATATAAATGGAATTTATAAATGGAGATTATTAATTGATTACTGTGCATATAATTGATTATTGGGCCTGGGCCAGAGTGACCTTGACGAAGACACAATCCCGGAAGAGGATATCACTTCTCTAACCCAGTTCCCAGAGAGTTGGCTGTGAAGAGTTGAAGAGTTGAAAGCACCAGAGAAAAATGGGTAAGTCCCTGGACATTCCCATTTCAACCGTCCTTCAAGCCACTTCCTCTCACCACACCAGTTAAAACCATTTGTCTCTAGCCCAGAATTCCCCCAGATTGGATCAGCTCATTTGCATGCATCCAAACCCTGCCCCCCACTGAATCATTTTATTTGTACTGTACATACAATTTAATATGTATGGATTTGAATATTTGATGGGGTTCAGACAGTAGGCAACAAATCATAGAGGGAAATATATAATATATATGCATATATGTATTTCTATATATATACCTGACTGGGAATACCTGTAAAGGCGATTAGAAGCTGCCCTAAACGCCTCCATTCCTCTCGGAGAGCCCGACAACTTACAGAGAGTATCCCGCCTGCACGGCAGAGCCTGGCAAGCTACCCGTGGTATATTCGATATGCCAAAAACAGTAACAATGATGGTCCTCATTTCCCCGACACTGAAACAGCCTCCAATACGCCATTTGGCTACACTAGCAAGCGACAGGGATGAATGGAGACATTATTGTCACCCGCTCGAGCAAATCCATGAACAACGGGATGACAGTGATACAGTGATATTGTGCAATAAATTCTCAGAGAAGATACCAGGATGCTCAGCTCCCACCTCCTACCCCAGCCCCAGTTCCCTTTTCTGTGGGTAGAAGATCTGGTCTCTGGCAACAGGTTATTGTCATCCCATCTGCAGACTTTCAGCCCATCTTGCTGCCTAGCAAGAGGGAAAGGCTCTGTGCTTGGAGGAATTTATGCTTGTACCTTAGCTAAACAGCTACAGTCTGTGTACTGCATTTTTACAGATGGGCTCTTTTAATAACTTCGAGTGATTGATCGTTCACCCCTCACCCCCTGCCCATTTCCCCAGTCTCATTTTTTCCCCAACTGGAAAGAAAAGAATACAATATTTCAATATTTGTTTGAAAGTTCATTAAAGAGGGGAAGCAGCAAACACATTCCCCCCAAATCCCATGGGCCTAAATATTGAATTTTGAAAAAACAAACACAACATCTTATTCAACCTAATCCTAGAGAGCTAGAATTAAATTTAATTATATTTATGGAATTATATTCATGGAATGTGGAATGTATGGATATTCAGGAAAATATTGGGAATCTCTAACCCAAATATATATATATATTTTTTGGAGGCTATGCTTGGTGGTGCTCAGGGTTTACTCTCGACTCTGCACTTAGGAATTACTCCTGACAGTGCACAGGAGACCATATGGGATGCTGGGGATCAAACCTGAGTATGCCCTGTGCAAGGCAAGCTCATTACTCTTTGTACTATGGGTCCAGCTCTACTAACCCAAATCTTGTCTTCTGTAAAGTCCTGGAGTGGCACTGTTCCCACTGAACATTACCATTCTGTGGTTCTGCCCCTCCCTTGGGAAAAGTCCACACAGCATGCCTACTGGGCACTGCTTGGGGGGGACCATGCAGTACTGAGGTTTCTACATGGGACTCCTGCCTACAAAGCATGCTTTCCAGCCGTTTGGTTCAGCTCCCCGTTCCTGCAGGGATATCATTTTATTTTTACAATTACTGTCAATTTTGGGCATGAGGGTTTGAGAAGTTGGTGATTTTTCCATATGAGATCATGGAAGAGGTACAGTGATTCCACAGATGAAGCTGGAAGTCACAGGCTCTGATGCAACTGTTGAAGTGAACTAAGAAGCTCCTTCCAGGGAGGAATTGCAGAGCACTTGCCGGCTACCCCATGCATACCTCACTCACCTCTGCAGGTACTATCCCGGAGGCCTGCTGCTGGCTGCCAAGGAGCATCCTGGAAGAAGTCCTTGCATCTCTCACAGTTCGGGCCATCTGTATTGTGCTGACAGACACACTGGCCGTGAACCTGCAAGAACAGTGTTAGAGAGGGTTTGCTTGTTTATTTTTTAGGGCTTGGGGATACACACCTAGAAGTACTCTGGGTCCACACTTAGCATTGCTTAGAGACCTCTCCTGGTGGTATTCAGGGGACCATATGTGATGCCAGGGATTGAAATGGGGTCAGCTAAATGGAAGATAGGTGTGCCCCTATTCTTTCTCTCTATCTTTCTGGCCCCACAAGGGTTTTCTTTAAATTGGAAATGAAATACCAGGCCATGAAGACTTCCTGGTTCATGGCTTCTGATTTGTTAGTTCCAGTAGCAATCTTATTATTTGCTTAACTGCTTAGAAATATTTTGTTTAATGTAAGATGTCCTGTAAATAATTATTGTAACTTTTGGCACTGTCATTTTAATAATCTATTTTAATAGCCATTTATAAATGATACTTTGATTTAAATAATATTTTTATTTTTAATAACCATTAATAACCATGGCAATACACTGCAGCCATTAGTACAATACAGAGCAGGATGAGTGTATGGGGGAAGGGGTGTCTAGGAGGATAATGGAACATAGGGAGAAGGAAAACAGAAAGGAACTGAATAAAGGAATACGGTTCTCTTGGTTTAGACAAAATGCCTTAAGTGCCCAAGATCACTGGCGGAAATTCTCTAGTGAAACACAGCACAGGAGTCTCAGCCTTATGTGATTATAATGAACAGTTTCAAATAATTTAGTAGACAATCCCGGGGATTGTGCATAAGAATACAATTATTTTATTACATGTCTCTTTTAAGACTAGCTCCAAGAATGGATGAGTGCTTCACTCTGAATATATTATTGCTACATGGTGAAAACATTACTGGCAATTATGGTTCCAACAGCATCAAATATTAAATCCCCTTAGCTCCACTTCAGGCTTTCTACACAGTGGGCTTCAGAAAAATTTTCTTGTTTTTAATTTAATTTTATTTTTATAAAGTAGTTTACAATATTTGATTACATTTAATATTCAAACATCAATCCCACCACCATTACACCTTCGTACGATTATATTTCAGGTGTTTCCATCCCAAACCCCAATCCCTGCCCCATAGCAGAACTGAAATAATTTATTCTGTATCATTTATTATGAATAAACTGCTGAAAATGCTCCAAAAATGTTTCCTAGGTTGAGCCTTATTACGGAAAGTTTTCCGTAAATTTTCAAGAGATGATGCATTTAATGTTATGCTTCCTCCATGCCCACTCTCTGTTACTCAAGAACAAAATGAAACATAAAATAAGCATGAACACAAGGAGAGAAAGATGAGGTATCTTGAAATCATAAGTCAGAATTTCTGCTCATCGTGTTCAATAATGTATGTAGCAGATGCAGAAGAATGTTTGGTTGGAGAACTGAAGGCCCTCCCAATGACCTGTTAGGCCCCAGGGGAAAATATCTATCCAACAACACAAAGCTGACTGTTCCATCGCTGATGCCCACATTGATCTGATTTACCCTGTGTGAAGTACACACAGGGAGCCCAGCCAACTGCTCTTTGTGACTGAATACTCACCATTCCAGGAGGACTGAAAACATCTCCTCGCACCATCTGCCTGGGCCCACACTCACTGGCATGCCCATGGCAAAAACAACTGCCCCGAACCACCATCTCAGACACAGCATAGTAGTAGTTGTCAAAGGAATCATTATGCCTTCTTCCAAGCAAAGTATCCCCAAGGGTGTGGAGTTTGGTAAAGTTTATCCTCAGGTTTGTTAATGTCATGAGGTCTAGAGAAAGAACCATGAAAACAATAAATCTAATTCATGCAAGTCTCATTCACTCAAGGATCCTCCTTGAGGAGTTGTGCGAAAAACATAAAGCAATTCATACCTTGTATGTAGGGACTGTAAGGGTTTTCTATGTGAAATCTGGGGTCCAATGCTTTTAAAACAACCTGCAAAACAAACCTAGGTGAATTCATAGCTTTCTTTCTTCTCAAAAACATCATTGTTACATATCCTCTTAAAGTAGAAATTCTGAACTTACAAGAAAGCGCAGACATTTCTTCACACCTGGTGTCATTTGAGTAAAAGTACCAAGAATGAAAATGATTGATTATTGAAATGTCATTCTGACTCTTCCTACAGAAACTCTTTCTGATTCCATGATTGAAAAGAGCTCTTGCTGTTAAGGCAGAGTGACCGGGTCACAATCCAACATGTGATTATCTACATGCATATGACAGAGAATTCTGGAGTGGCCCTGTGCCACTAATTCTTTGTGACCTACCTAGTAAAATAACAACACCCTCTGTCCCTTGGCCCTCCATCCTCTCCCTCCTCCCCTTCCCCCCTTTCTATCCTAACCTTCTACTGCTTGGTGCAGCCTAGCAACCTGGCAAATTCCGGGTGCTAGCTTACAGATCATGAAAATGAAGCTCTCTCACTACTAAGGTCTTTGCAAGGGGTAGAAAACAGATATTCCTGGGACCAGAGTGATAGTACAGTGGGTACTGATAGTACAATGATAGTACAAGGCTGACCTGGGTTTGATCTCCTATACCTGATAAGGTCCTCCAATCGGCCAGGAGTGATCCTTGAGCACAGAGCCAGAAGTAAGCCCTGGGTGTGGCCAAATAAATCCATAAACAAAGAAACAAACATCCCTTCTTCAGAGTGCCCCATACTCAAGTACCCAGCTAGGATTTTAGCTCCTGCTTTCCACTAGCTGGGCACTTGCAGGATGACTCCATATAAGATACTTGCTATTTGTCTACATTTGAGATGGATTTGGAATTTAGTTCAACTCCAACACTTTCGTTCTTCAAAAAAATAAATAAATAAAAATAAGAATCTAGTTTACTAAGCACTGTTAAAAAAACTAAGTTAATCTTATTTTTTAAAAAAATGTCTGATTTATACAGAGAATTCCAAGAAAGGACATGCTACCTCACCACCAGTTGAGGGTTCAATATCCGAGTATTTGGAGTCACAAACAAGGTCTCCCACTTCCTGGGCCTGGCCAGATGAGATATTGGGGAAGGAAGCAGCACAGTTTTTTGCAAAATACTTGAACACTTTCCAGCTATGTCCGTAGTCTGTGGAACGTTCAACTAACATCGCAGCTGGCCGGAAAGTCTATGAAAAAAAAAAAAAGAGTTAAACTTGTAGACTCCAGAAAGGCATATTTCATGATCCATTTCATATTGATGATTTGCCTTTTATTATTTTATTTTTAACCTTTATGTGTATCTTTTTAAGTCTAAAAAATAAAACCTATTATCCAATGAAAACACCAACCTCCTCAACAAACTTCCCAGCATTATAATCATATGTCTATTTCTGCACTTACAACTTTATACTATAATTTATTATTTCTAAATATGTTTGTATCTATAAATAGACTCAACTCTTCAAGGGCCAAAACCAGGGTCCTTCACATTTTCTTTATGTTTTATTCCTTTTTTCATTACCAAAACCTAGCACTGAGCCTCACTCAAAATTAGTATTTTTGTTTTTGTATATTTTGGGGCCATTCCTGGCTGTTGTAAGAGTTTATTCCTGACACTGTGCTCAGGGATCACTCCTGGAGGGGCTCAGAGAACTAACTTGGATGCTGGGGATTGTATCTGGCTCAACTGCATGTAAGGTAAGCACCTTATCCATGATCTGTCCAGCTGAAAATTAGGATTTTGGGGAGACAACTTAAAAATAACCACAGTATAGGGTTTGCTCGGCACCTAACTAACCTTAGTAAAATCCTTTTCATTTTTTCCTATTAATTACACTTTTTCTATATCTCTCTAAATACTTTCCAGTTCTTGCCCTTTTCTTCTGAAAACTGTCTTTTTTAATTCTATGGTTTCTATCATCACAGTGCTCAGAGTTTTCTTTTCGTTGTGTCTTCTATTTTATTTAATGTTTATTTAATTTTATTTTTGGTTAACCAAATTATTCTCAAAGAAGCAGTATGCTTATTCCATTTAAAATAAAAACCCAAAAGACCAAGCCCAGAGCATATTAACAAGTGCTCTGTTCTGCAACAAAGCAATCAAGTGAAATTCCAAGTAAGTCCAGCATTTTGTAAAGTGTAGGGGCAGCAAAGGGCTGGAGCGATAGCACAGCGGTAGGGCATTTGCCTTGCATGCAGCCAATATGAACGACCCGAGTTCGATTCCTCCACCCCTCTTGGAGAGCCCGGCTAGCTACCGAGAGTATCTCGCCCGCACGGCAGAGCCTGGCAAGCTACCTGTGACGTATTCAATATGACAAACACAGTAACAACAAGTCTCACAATGGAGATGTTACTGGGCCCGCTCAAGCAAATCACTCGAGCAAGGGGCAGCAAAACTCTTTGACTCTACCTTAAATTTCAGAATAAGGTGGCTGAACTGAAACAATGCTTCTAGGTCCAGTCTGACGCTGACATGATCAAGACCTAAAGAAAAATACAGGAAGAAGAAAATTGGTGATTTTGAGAGACCTGTTTATCGTATTAGTCCTTTCTTATGTCTGTTCTATAATAAAGCCGGTGATCATCCCTTAGCCTATTAGAAAAATGTCCCAAGCCATTTCATGCCAAGGAGAAAGTCTGTATCAGAACAAGGCTGTTTCATGCCAAGTAGAAAGTCTGTATCAACAAGTCTGTATCAAAACAAAGCTATACCTTGCTCAAGACCCATCCACATTTTGGTCCCAATGTATATGGCCACTGTGTGGCAGTATTACATACCACTCAGGGCATTCTGGGACATTTCCCATAGGTGTAAAGACAAAACTCATTTCCTTGAACTTCAACCTGGGTACACGTAAACTAACTAGTCAGAGCATGATAAAATCAACACAATCCTTTCTTCTAAGAACTGCTAACGATGATTCAAATTAGAGTTTTATTGTTACTTAGCATAAAACATAGTTTGGATTATTCCACCTAGTCTGATGTCTATGGGCATTTCTGTAGATGAGAAGACAAAAGTAACCTGGTTGAGGTAATTGTACTGAGACAGCTGCCATCTATTTCTAGTATGGACATGTAGGATTGGTCCCAGTCTGGACACAACAAACGCTCTGATCTAGATCAGTATTTTTCAACCCTTTTAAGGCCCCCTTTCAACTTTGTTTCTTTCCTGTGTTTCCCTCCATCCCAAGCCTCCATTCTACCAGTTTGCCTCCAGTCTGGTGGGGCCCATTTACATGCTTTTCACATGTGGCATGCACCCTTAGAATATCCTGGGGGCATATTGTCCCTAGTTGAGAAATGCAACTACAGATGTCCAATAGAAATATAATGTGAGTCAGAGGTGTAATTTAAAATATTTTAGAAGTCACATTTTGAAAACCAAAAAGAAAGAGCTGAATTTCTTTTTTAAACTATTTAATCAAACTTATAAAAATTCTTTTTTTTCACATGTCATAACTATTTTAAATATTAGCCAAACTTTATTATGTATTTTCCTCTCAAACCATGTCTTAGAAATCCAAGATACATTTTCGACTTATGGGATGAACCACATTGGAAGTACTCAATAGTTACCTGTGATGAGGAACTCTATCTCTGACCCTCACAGTTCTACAGGGTAGTGGCTAGAGGCCAGTGAGGTAGAATAGGGGTTAAGGCACTCACATGTAACCAAGCCTGTATTGATCCCCAGTACTGCCAGGAGTGATGTGTAAATCCTGGGAATAGCTGGGTGTGTCCTCCCATCCCCAACATCCCCCCAAAAGAATAGAGGCTGCATTACAGTGACTTGGAGATCAGCTTAATGTTTTGGAATTTAGAGGTGAATAACTCAGGGACAGTTAACTTCTGTGAGTACCTCCACTTTCCATGTATTAAGTGTTCCTTGCCCTTTATAGAAAGATTTTCTTTCTCCATTCTAAAATTTTTAGTTGAGAACCTTGTCCCATAATCAGCTTCGACTGAAGGGTGTGCCCCTATAAAAAATACATGGAACAAATGTTGGCCATGCATGTCACACAAGCTCTAAAGCAAAAGTGAAGATGGGTGATTTTGGTACATCCACTTGTGCTTACTGGGGGATGCCAACTAAAGATTGAGAATTAATATCCAAAAAAAGAACTGGCATTATGTAAAAATCAATTATATACTGGTCCCATGAATCACTTAGGAAAACACTCCACATACTTGACCTAAACTATCTTCTTATTATGCCCACATTCCTCTCAAATCCCCTAAGGGAAATTTATTGAGCTCTCTAAAGAGAAGAAAGGGGTTGTAGCCAGGCATGCAACATACAGAGTTGTGACAAATGGAATCAATTTGTGAAGACTAAGGAAGATGAAACAATTCCAGACAAACTGAAGAGCAGTCCTTGTGAGTGAGCCAACTGATATTGGAAAGTCCAGAACAAGGTTGGAGTGAGACATGAAAACATCAGGTTCAATTTTTGGTGGACAGTGAGGAAATACGGCTGGTCAAGCCAGCGTGGTGTTCAGTGTCACAGTTCATGAGAAGAAGGGGCAGGGAGAAAAGAATTCAGTCCATAGCCAACTAACCTTTCAACTCAATTTAATATTAAACATCTGACTTGCAGGAATGAATGAAATGTCCTGTAAAATATCTTTCTTAATGTGTTGAAGAAAGAAAACACGCATGGGGTTTGCTTTCAAACTGCTTAGCATTTTATATCCATATGTTCTATATTAGTCTTAATTTAGCAACACTCCATAAGCATTTTGTTGTTGTTGTTGTTTATTTGTTTTGGTTTGGGGCCACACCTGGCAACACTAAGGGGCTGTTTCTGGATCTGTGCTCAGGAGTGATCCCCGGCTGAGGTGGGGGAACCAGATGTGGTACTGGGATCAAGCCAGGGTTGGCCACATGCAAGGCAAGTGCCTTAATCCTGTGCTCTCTCCCTGGCCTCTAACCATCCTTTTCTAAACATTCTCTTTTTTATTTTTAGGGGGAAAAGGGTACAAAGGGATATGGATTTATATTCTTAACCCATATGGAAAAACTGAAACAATCTGAGCTTATGTGCTTAAAATATACTTTTGTTTCTACAGAGAAAAATAATCTTTTGAAATATAAAAATAAATTTTTTTCTCTACCTTCTTGGCAGATACAGCTTTATTCCAATACAATGCCTTGCAGTGATATGACTGAAGTCAGAACAATGCCTTATTAAAACAATTAGAAAGGAACTTAATCATACCATTTTCAGATTGCCACCATTTATTTTCTCTATCTGGCTCGAAACTAGTGATGACATTCTCAATAGTGTGGCTGTTGGGTTGGGTGTATGGATCATATGGAAATCTGGAATCACAGATGAAGCATTTTTGTTCCCCCTGGAGAACAGCATCATTAAAATTAAAAATAGAGAACAGTAATTACTTATTGTTGATCCTAATTTAAAAACAAGCTGTGCTTACTATGTTTGTCTTAGAATCCAGCTAAGAATGAAAAAACAGGAAATAATAAGACATTATTTTCTTATCAATAGATGGTAAATGCAATAGCAAATAAAATTAAAATATCATCTATAAGTTTTATAAATTTATACATTTGTTTATCTGAAACCATATATGTTCTTTCATAGGTCAGATGATCTGGAAGATATTTTATATTATAGATAAATAATTAGTATGTTTTAGAATTACTTTCTGTAGTCATAAAAGAACATTTGGGGATATATGGGAATAGCAAAAAGGGTTGGAGCACATGTGGGAGATCCAAGTTCAAGTCCCAACACTGCATGCTCCTCAGAGAACTGCTAGAGCAACCCCTGAGCACTTAGTTGGGAGTTACACCTCAGCAAAATCAACAATAACAAAAAAAACAAATTAAAACATATTTGGCAAGAGGCCAAAGCGATAGCACAGTGGGTAGGGCATCTGCCTTATACGTGACCTACCCGGGTTCGATCCCTGGCATCCCATATGGTCCCCTGAGCACTGCCTGGAGTAATTCCTGAGTGCAAAGCCAGGAGTAACCCTTGAGCTCTGCTGGGTGTGACCCAAAAAAGGAAAAAAAATATTTGGCAAGAGATTAATGAAACAGCCACTTATTTAATGGCAACCATCATCTTTCTCAGGCATGTTTTTAGTAGGAAAGATTCATGACCAACATCTTTATATCACACTTAGTAAATTTTATGTTTGTTTGTTTGTTTGTTTGTTTTTTTGCTTTTTGGGTCACACCCAGCATTGCACAGGGGTTACTCCTGGTGGCTCAGGGGACCATATGGGATTCTGGGAATCGAACCCGGGTTGGCCGCGTGCAAGGCAAACCCTACCCGCTATGCTATCTCTCCAGCCCCAAATTTTATGTTTTTAATTAACTTCACAAGTATGGCCTACCCTCTTGCCTTACAAAATAGAAGAACTTATTAAAGAGATTTAAATAGTGTCCCTTAACATAATTTTTTCAAAGGATGTAACAGCCTACATGGGCTTTTGAGTTCACATTATATTTATTTATAGCTTTACTGAAAACTTCAAGAAAAGATTTCCCACAATTGCAGCTCGCTCAATTGTTCTTAGATAATATTTACAGGCATTTTGAAGAGCTTCTTTTGGCAAAGCTTTCAGAAAGTAGGTCCATTTACTATTAATCCTCATGATTGAAATTGCCTACAACAGCAAATATTCTTGAAACATAGCTTGACTTCAACACTCTACCTTGATATACTCTGCTCTAGTTACACTGTGTACTTGCCATTCCTAGAACACCAAGGATTCTCTTTCTTGGAGTCTTGACATGCATAATTCTCCCTCATCTGACTCCCTAAAACATTCTCATCCCTTACTGTACTTTCCAGTCCTTTCAGGTTCCTTTAAATGTCATCATTTCAGAGAAACTTTCTTGACTACCTTATCTAAATTTCTATTACTTCCGACCCTGGTGATGTTCTGCCACTCTCGATCTCTTGCTTAACTTTTTATATTTTTTAAGTCATAATTTCTATTTGAGACTATTTTATACAGTTATTACATTATGTAGACTATCTTCATCATTGTAATTTAAGCTGAGTGAGGACATGGGCCTTGTTTTATCATTGTGGTGACTGGCATTTAGAGATGTTTATGAAATCTAGTGAAATAATGAATGACATTGATTATTATTTCAGTTGGGCTCTCAAAATAAACCGGTTCTCTTTACTGGCCATAATAAACTTTATACTTGAAGAAAATTAAGACATCCTTCAAAAATTAAGGCAGAATGAAAGTGAAGTCAATTCTATGCATAGGGAAACTTGTCCCACATTTGTCCTAAAGGAGCAGCAGAAGTGCTTTATTCCATCTAAAGATGTCAACACATCAAAATATTTCTGATAATTTAATGGAAATGATTGGCAAAATTCTTGACTTATAGGCATGTGGTTCATTTTTCTTAAGATATCTTAGGAGCGTGGTCTTTGATGGGTCGGCTACAGAGGATACCCACATTGTAAACAAAATGTGTGTACCCAGTTTGGTTCAAGAATAGGTCAGGTTTGACTTGAAGCTTCAGAAGAGAATGGTTCACTTGTAGCTCTTAGGTAACAAGTGGGAAAAGTCATCCCCACGATCCATGAATATTCATGTAGACTAATACCTGTGTTATTACCTAGAATATTGTGCCAGCCTGAAGATAATTTTGATATTTTTGTTGGAAGCACTATGATTGGTAAGATATCTGTGGGTCTCTAGAAGTCTCTGAGGTTTAATTTCCTGCTATTTGTGGAAGTGTCATTTTGAGACCACAAGGACATCTGTTTATTTATTTAGTTTTGGTTAAGTTTTTCTTTTCTTTTTGGGTCACACCTGGTGATGCACAGGGGTTACTCCTGGCTCTGCACCCAGGAATTAGTCCTGGTGGTGCCGGGGACCGTATGGGATACTGGGAATCCAACCCAGTTGGCCTGTGCAAGGCAAATGTCCTACCCACTGTGCTATTGCTCTAGTTTTTCTTTTTGAGGCAACAACTGATAGTTTTTGGGAGCCACTCTCAGTGGTACTCTGGGGGATTGTGCAATGCTAGGGTTATATCCAGGAGTATCAATTTTTAAATTATTGTCATACTATATTGACTCATGACAAGTAGGCAGTTGTCAGGGTTTGAAGAAGATAGATGATGTGGGTGCTACCAGATATAATTAGTTCAGTGATTTGAGAGTCATCCACCCTACCTGGCTTGGATTCAAGCATTTCCTTGCTCATGCGGATAATCTTCTTCCTTTACAACTATGTTCCAAACTTGGAACTGTGTTAAGCACCCAAATATGGCTTCCATTTATTTATAATCATCTTTTTCTACTATAAACCAATTAGAATACAAAACATTTCCCAGAGACACCCATGGGTTGCCTTAGAAGAACAATACATGGAAAAGCCTGGACCTCCAACTTTAGGCTTCTGTCCAACTTCCTTCCCTGAACATCCTCTTATTTAAGGGTTGACGTGATTGCCTCTGACTTTCAGCAGGTATGATACTCAGAGGACCTTGGATTCTTTTGTGCTCCTGAAGAACAGGAAAGGAAAAAAATCTGGAAAGCAGCTGGTCTTTTCCTAAAACTGGTCTTGAAGTAGGGAAAAAATAAACCAGAAAACTATGTCCACACTGGGATTTGTTGTTGTTTTAGGGCCACATACTGTGGTGCTGAGGAATTACTCCTGACTACAGTGCCAGGCTCAGGGGTCACTCCTGGAGATGTTTGGGGGACCTTTCATGGTGTTGAAGATTGAACCCGGGTCAGTCACACACAAGGCAATTGCCCTACCTGATGTAATATCTCTCTAATCCCCACATTGGGGTTTTATAGTTTTCATAAAACACCATATTTAAATGGCATCATGAGGCTGATGTCTAATCAATTCAAAGCCCTACAGCCTCTCTATTTCTAAAACAGAACAACTCATGTTCAGCTCAATAGGACCATCACACATCAATTATGTCCATTCTATGGCAGTAATCTAAGTCAGATTATCAGACAGTGTAACAGTAATTCCCTTTAAAGATTGAACCCCCCAAATAATTTTGCCTAATTCTAAAGGTAAAAAGAAATCTTCCCTACTTTCTACATAGTCAAGGTTTCCTGGACTTGGAGTTGTAAGCCCAATGTCTCTGACATTCAAGAAGAAGTGTTGTGTGGATAATCCCAGAAGTACTTGAGACACTTTCCATCATTGTTATATTCCCCAACAGGAAAAACAAACCAACCCACCTCAAGGTAGCTGAGGATGCAGTATTTCTGGACTCCACTGAGCCCGCAAGTGGAAGAGGCTGAGAGCTGATCACCACGGCCCACTAGGAGGTTGCCAGTGGGGGGACGGCAGGCACCCATGTTGCATTCCTCTTGATCTTTGGTGTAACTGAGTAACCCTTGAATATAACAGAAACAGCAACATATAAAGCAGCCTTACAGCAGCACAAGGTCCAAGGGAACACCTGGGTAATGTGGAACACTAATAATCGTGAATTTGTAATACCAGTTCTGCTTCTAAGTAATGCTCTAGTCATGGAGGCAGGAAATTTCTAAGCTGGAAGTGTAAAGTTGGAAGTTTATACCATCCTTGTTCATGTCTTTACCTGGGCCAGACTGCAGCCAGTGGCAGTGACAAGGCTGACACCAGGGCTTCTGGCTAGGATCAGCTCTCTGGTATAATTCATGCTCAGAACCTTTCCCTGGGGTGAGTTTGAAGCCTGATTTTGCGGGGGTGGAGGGGGGGGCAGCACGCTGGTCCATCTCTACTTCTCTCACACTCTTATTCTTCAGGCAACTGTCTTAATAAATTACGGATACACAAATCTCTGTTTTAGAATCTGCTCATAGGAAACTTGATTTGAGACAACTTTTACTTACTGGAAATTCTCTGGGTTATTTTAGGGCAAGTAACAAAAATATTTATATAACCCAAGGAAGGAAAACCCAAAATCTGCCTTTTGTACATGTTCCTACCTCTAAAAATGTTGACAGGGGTATTTAAGAAATATTTGGGAAATTCTTTCTTTTTAAAAAATATAAATCCACAGACCCCCCTTCACAGCCTAATTTGTAGGGCTTTGATATGTTATGGAACAAATCATGCATCCTTGGGACAAAGAGAGAAATAAAGTTGTATATCTCACTGCATAGGTCTGGATAATCCATGGGATTCAACAGATGGGCTGCCATGAAGAGATTCAAGTAGAAGGGGGGTAAGATAATTACTGGGATCACTATCTCAATTGCAATTTCAATTCTCCACTTTACTTTTCATCTGTAGCCTCTTGAGCTAATATCCTTAAATCTCAATTTAGAAAATAATTTAAAATCTCTGTTTTAAAATGTTAAATTTTGAGATAAGACAGCTGCTAAATGTCCACGGAGAAAATGAGGTGAAAAGGGTTTGCTGAACCATTTCCTCCTTGTAAGCTTTGTTCTTTGATGTTAAAGCTGTATTTTTAAAAGTCATTACATATTAATAGCTTTGTTTGTTGGTAGATTTAATAAAACAACTAAAAGTCTTTGGGCGGGGGAGGAAAGAGACATTAAGCTAACACACCTGCTAAGTAAAATGCAGACACAGTGTGAATCCACTGAATATTTTTTTGACAGATATGTATAGAACGGGCTGTATTTATTATTTTGAAAGGTTTACTTGAGGATCTGAAGACACAGTACAGGAGGTAAGGCACTTGCCTTGCATGGAGCTGTGGCAGCTGTAGCCTTGATTGAAATCCCTGGCACCATCAGGGTTCATTTTTGATCAGAGAGCCATAAACACCGAGGACAACTTGTCATGGCTCAACCCCTGCCTTCCAAGTTAGAATTCAACAGTATATCTTTTTAAAATGGAAATAAAATATTAGAATTCTCTTTGATTCTCAAGATCATAATTTAGATACCAGTTTTTTATTTAATTGACATTAGGGTAATAGACATGGTAATTTTGTAGAAATAAAATATCTTCTGGATAGAAAGGCAAAGGAATTAGAATAATTAAAACCATTTTGGAAATTACCCCACCTTATATTAAAGTTTAAAGTTTTCAATAAGCAATCAAGTTTACAATAAATAAGAGTGTTCTATTGGTGAAGCAATAGAATGATGTATCAGCGCAACAGAAAAAAGGAATTCACACAAACATGCCTGGCTGATTTTCAAGGTGCAAAGACAATTCAATAGAGGCTGATGAACATTTTTAGTAAATGGGTGCTGGAATATCTCTAGGGGAAATAAAGAATTACAGCTAGAATCTCACACCTTACACAAATGTTAATCTGAAATAGACCATGGATATAAATGTAAAGTATCAAACCACTAAGCTATTAAAATACTGTAGTACTGTAGCACTGTCCTCCCTTTGTTCATCAATTTGCTGGAGTAGGCACCAGTAACATCTCCATTGTGAGACTTGTTACTGTTTTTGGCATATGGGACACACCACAGGGAGCTTGCCAGGCTCTGCTATGTGGGTTGGATACTCTCAGGAGAAAATCTTGGGGACTGAATTACATGAAGAATTTGTAGAATTGACAGCAAGAATACACACTGTAAGATACCACTGGGGACTGGGGAGATAGTGCAAAGAGATAGGAGCCATGCTTTGCATTCAATGGTTCGGAGTTCTATGCACGGCACTTCTGGAAATGAGAATAGCCCCTGAGGACTTACAGTTGTGGGGCAACAGAGAAAGAAGACAGGAAAGAAAGAAGGAAAAAAAAAGGAAAAATTGGGCCTCATATAAAGAAATGATTTTTTCTAAGAAAGTACTGTGAAAGGGAGCCACAGACTGGAGGAGAATAACAGCAAAGCATATGTCGGTCCATGAACTTGATCTACAAAAAACTCTCAAAACTTAATATTTAAAAAACCAGATCCAAATAAAAAATGCAAAGCAGTATGAATAAACATTTTACTGAAAATATGGAAAGTCAGTGACCAGAACAATAGTACCATAGGTAGGGCATTTGCCTTGCACGTGACTGACTGGGTTCAATCCCTAGCATCCCATATGGTCCCATGAGCATTGTCAAGAGTAATTCTGAGTGCAGAGCCAGGAGTAAGCCCAGGAGTGGCCCCATCTCCCCCTCTTCAAAACAGATGGAAAGTCATCCCCTAAAAAGATGTTCAACATCACTGGTTAGTAGGGAGTTGTAAATAAAAACCACAATGACATATCACTGACTACCTAACAGAATGACAAGAATACAAATAATGATAAAACCAAATGATAGAGAGATTATGGTGAAAAGGGTCACCAATAAACTGCTAGTGGGAACATCAAATGAAACAAGGGAACAATAAGAAATTCTATAATTGTGTATACTGGGACCAGAGAGATAGTATCGCTGGTAGGGCACTTGTCTTGCATGTGGCTGACCTGGTTTTGATCTCCAGCACCACATACGATCCCCTGAGTCTGACCAGGAGTTATTCCTGACCTCAGAGTCAAAAGTAATCCCTGAGAATCACTGAGTGCGATCCCAAAATATAAAAAAAAGCAATCAATCCAGAAATTGCAAGCTGGGGGACATGATTCAAGTGGTAGAGGACATGCTTTGTGTGTGATGAAGACCCTGAATTCAATTCCTTGCTCCTCTTGGTCCCCAGCACCACCAGGTACAGTACTATAATGATAAAAAAAATCTAGTTATTGTACTCCTAGGCATTTATTCCAAGAACTTAAAGTTATGTTCATGAAAATTCAGTATGTGAATCTATAGCATATTTCTATTGCATATAGCATAATCTATAGCAAATAGTATATTGTGCTGCGATAGCACAGTGGTAGGGCATTTGCCTTGTGCGCAGCCAGCCCGGCCAAGCTGGGTTTGATTCCTCCGCCCCTCTTGGAGAGCTGGCAAGCTACCAAGAGTATCTCACCCGCACGGCAAAGCCTGGCGAGCTACCCGTGATGTATTCAATATGCCAAACACAGTAACAACAAGTCTCACAATGGAGACGTTACTGGGCCCACTGGAGCAAATCAATGAAGAATGGGAGGACAGTGACAGTGGCAAATAGCATATTTATTTGAAATAGCTCTAAACTGAAAACATAGACACCCTTCAATGGCAAATCGTTAAACAAAGTGAGGCACATCCACACCATGCATTGGTATTTAGGAATAAATCTGTGATACAGGCAACAACTTGGATGAATCTTAATTTGGATGATTTTTTTTAAAAAGTCAATCTAAAAGGTTACATACTACATAATTTTATTCCTTGAAAGAAATAGATTGGTAGCTATTAGGGGTTAGAGAGAGAAGATTGTATATAAAAAAAAAGTACTAGGGTGGGACTGGATTGATAGTAGTGGATAGAGTGCTTGCCTTATACATGGCCAATCCAGGTTGAATTCTCAGAACCCCATATGAGTCTGCCAGAAATGATCCTTAAGTGCAGAGCTAAGAGTAAGCCCTGAGCACAGCTGGATGTAGCCCAAAAACAACAATGAGAAAAGTTCTAGGGATCCTTGAGGTGTCTTAACTTGGCAATGGTCACATGAATCTATATGGGTTATATATGTGCACAAAGTTAAACATTTGCGCCCCAACTCAAGAACTGACGCATGTAAAACTGGTGAAATTTGACTAAGATAAGTAAGTTCTATGAAGATCAAATTCCTGGTTGTGATGTTGTGTGATATTTATGCTAGATGTTACTTTCTATCAAGAGAAGCAGACAAAGGATAGATAGGATCTCTCTATTATTTCTTACTAACCTTATCGAACCTGCAACTATCGCAAAAGAAGAGCAAATACCTAAACAATTGTTTCTCTTTGAAAAATCATGCCATGAACTTCTAAGCCAAGGAAGTCCCACACTAAAATAACACACAGGGTATGTTTCAAAAATTTCTCTTATGCTTTTTTCCTTGAGATTTATAACCAGACCTGATTTCAGTAGAAGGCATAAAAGGGATGAGACTATAATGAAAGAGAACTTCCATCCTTTGAAACAAGACTGGTTTCTCTTGTTTTCTTGCTCAAAAACCTATGGTTTTTGTTGCTTTTGTTTGCATTTTGGGACACAGTCAGCAGTGCTTAGGGGCTATTCCTGGCTCAGAGCTCAGGTGTCTGAGTGAGTTGTGAGTACAACTCTTGGTTGTACTCACAGGACCATATGGTACTAAGGGTCAAACCTGGGGCCTCCCGCATGTCAAGCATATATTCCAAAGTGCTATCTCGAGCTCCAAAGTAAATATTTTTCCCCTAGAATGGAATTCTTAAATATTACATACACCCCCAATTATATTTGTTAATAAAAGATAATATTCTCTTTTTGTTTATTTTATTTTGGGCTCCTTATGGCCGACCTGAGTTCGATTCCTCTGCCCCTCTCTGAGAGTCCGGCAAGCTACCAAGAGTATCTTGCCCGCACAGCAGAGCCTGGCAAGCTACCGTGATGTATTTGATATGCCAAACACAGTAACAACAAGTCTCATGATGGAGACGTTACTGGGCCCGCTCGAGCAAATCGATGAACAACGGGAGGACTGTGACCGTGATTTTGGGCTCCATGTCCTCAATGATCAGGACTTACTCCTGGCTCTGTGCTCAGGGATCAGGGTTAGCCCTCTGCAAGGCAAGTGCCTTAATCCCTGTATAATCTTTCTGGTTCCAAGATAATGTTTTTCTGTGTACACACAGTCTCTATATAAAATATATACTAAGTTGGTCATTTTGTGATTATTATCAGGCATTAGAAGTACTTAGAGTATTTAAATTTAATAGTTAACATAAATTCTACAACTTAATTTATTTTTCTAAATTATAATTGTACAACATAATTTATTTTTTCTGATAAATTGCCATATGCAAATTTGAACAGAGAATTTTCCTGTTGTCTGTCTCACTGAAAAGTTATTACTCTGTCACAGTGACTCAATAAAATAAAAAATTAAAAAAAGATTATTACTCTGGAGCAGAGAAACAACTCTCTCTCTCTTTTTTTTTCTTTTTGGGTCACACCCGGTGATGCACAGGGATTACTCCTGGTTCTGCACTCAGGAGTTACTCCTGGCGGTGCTCAGGGAACCATATGGGATTCTGGGAATTGAACCATGGTCAGCCGCGTGCAAGGCAAATGCCCTACCTGCTGTGCTATCTCTCCAGCCCCTGGAACAACTCTCTTTTTCTTTAAGAGATATATGTGAAGAAAGATAATGGCAACATATTTTATATTTTATTGTTTAATATTCTTAGATGGCTAACACGGGCTTTTCCTTTTATTTACCCAACAAAATATCCCCAGATCTCCTTTAGAATAGGGATCTAGGATAAATAGCTAATTAGAAGTTTGGTTCTAATAAACAGACTTTTCAAAAAGAGTTCAGGTATGGGGCCACACCAATAATACAGAGTATAGGGTGCTTGCTTTGCATGCAACCATGCAGCTTTGTGACCATGGTTAGTTCTCTGGCATTCCATATTGTCCCTGAGCACAGATTCAGAGCTAGGAGTAAGCCCTAGCACTGCCAGGTGTGTGTGTGTGTGTGTGTGTGTGTGTGTGTGTGTGTGTGTGTGTGTTGGGGGTGGGTGGGGAGAGGAGGAACCAACAAGGTCAGGTATAAAATCTCAGTTAGTGTTATGTGTGGATTAACTATGACTTCTCTTCCAGGGATTTGTTCTTTTAGACAAGTTCCATCCTGAATTCTTTTATTGGAATTGTTGCCTTAGAGATTTAACATGTTTTAAAACCTGACTTGGCCAAACATGTTTTGATCAGGTGTAGATTTTTTTTCAGAAATAATGCTTCAAGATTAGGGGAATTGAACTCCTATTCAATATCATAAGAGTAAATATGAACTTCTGATCTAAAACACTTGGCAAAAATGAAGCTAAAACATAAGTTGTTAAAGCTTCATGTCTGAACATAGATTCAGCAATATCCTTCCTGTGTTGAAGTTTTTAGATTACTTAGTGGTCACACTACAACAGATTGGAATTATAATTCATATGTTCTTCAAACTGACATAGAATTTAAATATTGATCATTACTAAACTGAATCAAATATATATGGTAATTTAGAGAAAATGCATAGCACTTTTTTTATAAAGTGAGAAATAATTTTGTAGAACTAAAGTTTGGAATGCAAGTTCTCTGCTTAGTTATTTTGTATATTCTTATTATTGTAATAATTCTCTTAGACATATGAGGTTTTTTATTTCTTTTTGGTTTGGGAGACATACCCGGCTGTGCTCAGGGCTTATTTTTGACTCTGTGCTCAGGGGGTCACTCCTGGAAGTACTTGGGGGACTATATGTGGTGCCAGGGATAGAAACCAGGTCAGCTGTGTGTTAGGCAAGTACCCTACCTGCTGTACTATCTCTCTGGTTTCAGTGAGCTTTTTCATACACACACACACACACACACACACACACACACACACACATTATGGTTCACTTCAGAATTTTGGAGGTTATAAATTTTGGGACTCACACATTATTTTATAAGAAAACACATAAAATGCACATAGACAAGGCTTCCTCTTGATTTCCAGTTTGCAAACTTGGGTTCAATGCACATTTTACCTTTTTATGGTTCTTTTTTCCTTATCTCCTTTATTCATACTCAAGAATAAAATGTTAAAATAGATAGGCTACAATTTTATATAAATGTCTATAGTTGAAGACAAATCAGAAAATGCCCATGCTGGTGGTGTGAGGATCACATGGCTCGTAGTTAATTATGGGCCACTCAAGAGATTCGGATGTCCAGAACAAGCTTAGGTTTGGAAATCCAGGTCTACTGCAGAAAGGTCTTCCCTGCCTACGCTAATTTAGGTGTTCTGTTTTGTTTTGTTTTGGAGTGGGGGAGCATATTCATTTGTGCTGAGGCTTGTTCTTGGCCCTGCACACATGGATCACTCCTGGTGTGGTTCAGGGGATCAGATGGGGTGCAGGTGAGCAAACCACAGAAGGCTACTTGCAAGGCACATACTCTACCCACTGTACTGTCTTTTTGTCCTCATATTTGAGCTTTGAGGAAAGAGGGGTGCGGGTGTCCTTATTGAGGATGATTGTCTGAGCAATGGGGAATAGATGTTTAGGCAAGAGATGAATAAAAGGCAAAGGCCCTCCCGTTGTTTATCGATTGCTCGAGCGGGCCCAGTTACTGTCTCCATTGGAGACTTTGTTGTTACTGTGTTTGGCATATCGAACACATCACGGGGAGCTTGCCAGGCTCTGCCGTGCGGGCGAGATACTCTCGGTAGCTTGCCAGGCTCTCCGAGAGGGGCGGAGGAATCGAACTCGGGTCGGCATGTTGGCTGCGTGCAAGGCAAACGCCCTACCGCTGTGCTATTCCTCTGCCCTAAGAGATGAATAAGGTATTTTAAAATTATTTACTTATTTATTTTGCTGTTTTGGGTCACACCCAGCAGTGCCCAGGGGTTGTTCCTGGCTCTGCTCTCAGGAATTACTCCCAGCGGTGCTCGGAGGACCATATGGAATGCCAGGGATCGGGTTGGCCGCTTGTACGGCCAACACCCTCCCCGCTGTCCTATCACTCCAAGTAAGGCATTTTCGAGTGGGTAAGGAGGTTGCTTCTGATTCTAATTTCTGGCTTAGGCTCAAAAAGTATGTATATCCCAGACTAATGGAAATTAAAATGACTCTTCTCTATCTGAGGCCCATTTAAATTTCATAGTTCTTTCATAGTTCTTGTGGGGTCAGACAAATGAGTCTCCATGCCCCTAGGCTTGTGGTTCACTTTTCCACAAGACTAGGAAAGTATTTTTTTTCCCTAGGCAGGAAATTTTCAACAACAAAAAGCCTTAACAGTCAAGAGCTATTCTTCTTGTCTGCATCACTAGCAAATCTAACTGGGAAATGACCTCTGGTTTTGGGGAGTGTAAAACAAAAGAAATTCTTAAAGTTTGCTGTTGTGAAGGAATTCAGCATGAATTTTTGAAGGTTCTAAACAATGCAGTTGGTGTTCAGCAACCCAAAGCAGGCTGTTCGGGAAAATTGAGGATCAAAGAGAGAACTTGTTGGAACCAACTTCCCTATGACTAATGTAAGTGATCCTCAGCTTCTTGAAGAAAACTGAGCCAAGGCGAATCTGGCTGGTTGGCTTAGGGCTACTGCTTACTTGGAAGATGGAAACTGGCTTATAAAACATAAGACCTCACGACTGGGATAGGGGCTTCATTCTAAGGAAAGCTATTTTTAAAATTAAAATGATCTGGGAACCAGAGAGGCAGCACAGGGGTAAGGCACTCACCTTCCATATGACCCTCCCAAGTTTGATCTCTGGACTTCACACAGTCCCCTGAGCACTGCCAGGAGTGATCATTGAGCAAAGAACCAGGACAGCCCTGAGCAACATTGAGCAACACCAGCTGAACCTCTCTCACCCTCCTTTCCCCACCACCGTCGCCCCTCCCCAAATCCATTCTGTTTGCAAATTAGGAATCTAAAAATATTTTTCACTTTTGTATATTAGTTTTCTCATTTACTGCTGATAATATTCTATAAAATAGTGATAGAAATAGCTATGTGTGGAGCCTATCTGTATTTGAGTAAAAATTTATAGTTGTTTGACACATTGACACAACAGAGTATAGAAACCCCCAGTAGTCAAAAATATGATTATATTTTAAAACTAGCACAGTGGGTAGGGCGTTTGCCTTGCACGCAGCCAACCTGACCGACCAGAGTTCGATTCCTCTGCCCCTCTAGGAGAGCCCAGCAAGCTACCTAGAGTATCTAACCCACATGGCAAAGCCTGGCAAGCTACCCATGATGTATTGAATATGCCAAACACAGTAACAACAAGTCTCACAATGGAGACGTTACTGGGCCCACTTGAGCAAATCGATGAACAATGGGAGGACAGTGCTACAGGACAGTGCTACAGTGCTACAGTAAATATGCAGTACAAGGAGAAAATAGATTGTCACAATCATGACTCACCAAGGTGCAGAAGAATGGTTAGTTGAAATTGCATTCTTTGGTCAGGAAATTATTAAATTCAATTCGGCTAAGTAAAAAAAAAAAGGTTAAAGTCAGTTATTGACAGAATCAGTTAAGAGTTAGCAATTTTTAGCGATAAAATTTTTTTTCTGATGGTTTTTATTATTTGGTTCATAAAAGTAGCATAGTGCCCACTTTCTTTCAAAATAAAGAATATTAGGGCTGACAAGAGAGTACAAAGGCTATGGTGGTGATCTCATATGCAGTTGCTGTTATGACACTGACTTAAAGACCAGCACCCTACCTGGTCCATCAATCACTGCTGGATGTGGCCTTTGAGCATCACTAGGTTCCCGCAAACCAAAAATAAAGACATCAATAAAAAAAGAATCTCAAAGGGCTGGTGCATGATTTGCATGCCGGAGGCCTAGGTCAAGTCCACAGATATTTGAGCACCAAAATCTATGGTCCTAAAGTACCTCTGGGTTCCAAGATAAAAGCAAGAAAAAAATGATGTGATATTGCTTCATCAACATATGCCAAACATACTTACTATAGCAACAAATTTTTACATCAGTGAATTTTAACCCACTGAGATATATTGGGCTTTCTTGGGCTTCCATAGACCAAAGATGTGTTCCTTTTGCTCATTTGACCTTCCTCTTCTAGGTAGAGAGTCCCCCCAAAGCATTGATGAGGGTATCCCTTTTGGGAGTATATATCAGACCTCACTGGGTAGGATGAAAGAAGATAAAATGACATTCCTCACCAGTATCTTTTTCTTTTTCTTTTCTTTTCAAACTTGACTTTCAGTTTTTATTTTAATTTCAAAAATTTCCCCATTTTTATTGAGAAACGGTGCTTTACAATAGTATTACCTATAGTTTTGTGCGTATATCACTCCAACACCACATCTACCAACAGAGTACCTACTTCTCTCCACCAATATTCCATGGATGTATCTCCCTAAGTAAATTCAGTTTTGTTGACAAAATCTCCAATTCTGTTACCTCTGGCCATTTGTTGCTCTCTTACCTTGTATGTTTATATCCCACATAAGAAAGATAATTCTGTATCTATTTCTTTCTTTCTGACTTCACTCAGTATGATGCACTCTAGCTCCATGCACATGGTGGCAAAGTATATAATTTCATCTTTTTATAGCTGCATAGTATTCCAATATATATATATATATATATATATATATATATATATATATATATAAAACACGGCTTCTTCATCCAGCTATCTGTGCTGGACATTTGGGTTGTTTCCATATCCTGACTGCAATACTAAGTGCTGCAACGAACATAGGCCACACCAGTATCTTAAATTGCTGTGAATACCTATCAGGAATCCATAATGGTACCTTAGGAAGGCTGAACCAGAACCTGAGCACTTTTCTAGTTGATGGGGACCAGGAAATCTCCCGATCCTAATGTCCTATATTCAGAACTCCTGCCCTTTGTTTCAGAAAATCAGATAGATTAGCAATGTGGTTTCCATTTTGATAACAATGGGAAATAAGATTAAATTTTGAAAAGAAAATATTTTTCATAACCAAGGAAACAGAATTGTTTGAGATGATGAGCTATGAGTAGTGAGGTTGGAATTCATGGAGGTGCTGAGCACTGCCTGGGAAAGTCTTTAGCATTTCTGTGTCTTCCACGGGGAATCCATTCAGGGGCAGTATTTCAAACTGACTATTTCCTATTATAACCCAAGGGCTCTCACTCTTGGAGTTGGAGAGATAGTACAGCATGTAGGGCACTTGCCTCACACACTGCCAACAAGACATCAATCCTGGCACCACATATGTTCCCCTGAGCCCCACCAGGAGTGCTCTCTGAGCACTGAGTCAGTAGGAAGCCTTGAGCTCCATTGGGTGTGGCCCCCAAACAAAACCGGTCAAACAAGTAAAACAAAATCTCCTGCCTGGGTGAGGTGGAGGGATGCAGATTGCAGAATCCCCAGGATTTAGATTTCAAGAGGAGGCGGAGCAACAGAGCTTGGTGCTGACTGCAGGCATGAAAGAATATGTAGGTGTCTTGTGCAGAGCATTAGTGGTGGGATGGGGGTGAGGACAGAGCTTCCTGATTATCACAGCTCATGACAGAAATAAGATTTTGGGAATTTTCTCAATCCGTATAAAAATTGTCTTTAAGCAATACTAAAGGTTGTGAAAGAAAAATGTGAACTTCAGCATAAGTCAGCTGAATTCCCCAACAACCTACCCCAACGTAGAGCAGCAAGAAAAATGACAACATCCTACCCTGGACTAGAACAGAAGCCATCCTCTTGTTAGGAACTGTGTAAGGGTGAAGAAAGAATGCCCAGAGTCATCCCCTTGACTGCACCTTGGAAACAGCAGGGAAGACTGAATACCTTCTTTGAAACTGGATGTATAGGTGGCGGGAGAAAGAAGCTGGGGGTAAGGCGCTTCCCTTGTATGCAGGTGACCAGGGTTCCATCCCTGGCACTGCATATGGTTTTTTAAGCACTACCAGAAGGGACCTGAGTACAAACACAGGAGTAAGCCCTGAATACTGCTGGGTGTGGTCCCCAAACAAACAAAGAAAAATGCATAAATTGTATTTATGACTGTATATAAACTTGGTTTCATTTGGGGGGTGCACACCCTATGGCATTCAGGGGCCACTCCTGCTGCTGCTTGGATAGACCACGTAATGATGTGGATCAAACCCAGGTTTGTACATTCGAAGCATGTGCTCCAGTCCTTTGAGCCATCTCTCCAGCCCTAGATATGTATTTATTATGATAAAACACACAGAAAAGTTGCCACTTTAAATTGTACAGTTCCAAAATTCCATGGTTGTGCAACCAACTCCAGAACACTTTAATCTTGCAAAATACATTCTATGCCCATTAAATAATTTTTTTCTTTTTTCAGTTCCCCACCCCCACGTCCCCCAACCCCCGCCCCCATGGTAGTAGTCATAGACCATGGCCATTACACTCTCTGTCTCTATAAATCTGACTACTCAAGGCACCTAAGTGGACTCATATAGAATTTATCTTTTGTTTTTAAATTAATTATTTTATTATTTTATTTTTATTATTTTAACGAATCACTATGAGATAGTTACAGATTTACAAACTTGCACGATTACATTTCGGTAATACAATGTTTGGGTACCTATCCCTCCTCCCCTGCCTATTCTCCATCACCAATGTTTCCAGTATCCCTCCTGCCACCCCCAACCCTTCCTCCCCACCCTGTCTCTGTGGCAGGCACATTCCCTCTTACTCTCTCCTTTTCAGTGGTCTGGTTTACAATACAGTTACTAAGCGGCCATCATGTTTGGTTTATAGTCTACTTTCAGCACATATCTACCATCCCAAGCAAGTCCTCCAATCATCATTTACTTAGTGGTCCCTTCTCTATTCCCGCTGTGTTTTCCCCCAGCATATGAGATCAACTTCCAAGTCGTGGAACTATCCTCCTGGCCCTTATCTCTACTATCCTCAGGTTGTTAATATCCTTTATATTCTACATATGAGTGCAGTCATTCTATGTCTGTCCTTTCTTTCTGACTCATTTCACTTAGCAAGATACTCTCCATGTCTATCCACTTATATACAAATTTCATGATTTCATCTTTTCTAACAGTTGCATTGTGTTCCATTGTGTAGATATACCAAAGTTTCTTTACCATCTCACACCACAGAGATTGGCACACATCTCTGATAAAAAGAACAATAGCAACCGGTGTTGGTGGATATGGGGAGAAGGGGGTTCTCTTTCATTGCTGATGGGAATGTCAACTGGTCCAGCCTTTTTGGAAAACAATATGGACGTTTCTCAAAAAACTAGAAATTGAGCTCTCATTTGACCCAGCAATACCACTTCTGGGAATATATCTTGGAGATGCAAAAAAGTACAGTAGAAATGACATGTGCACTTTATTGCAGCACTATTTACAATATTTACAATAGCCAGAATCTGGAAAAAACTGAATGCCTGAGAATTTATCTTTTGGAAACTGGCCTTTTTCACTTTTCATAGTGCCCTTAAAGCTCATCCATGCTGCATCAGGCATCAAAGTTGTCTTCCTTTTTTTTAACAGCCAAAGAATATTTCATTGTAGGTGAATGAAAAACTTGTGGAGATTTTTAAACTATTAGCACTCAGACTGAACACAGACCAGTAAAATCAAAGTTGCTTATGTGGTAGAATCTACATGCCCATGTACTTCAGGTGCTCCCCAAAAATTCTAACCCACTGGCAGCACACAAGCATCTCACACTCATTGTTTTATATCATGTACCGGTTTTCCTCCTGGATTTTATCCTAAAATAAGAGCAAAAATCAGTAGCTCTCAAACTTTGCTGCACCTAAGAATTACCTAGAGGAGCTTTAAAACTCTCATTGCATAGACCACATTCAGTATAAATTAAATCAGAATATCTGGGGAGTGATATCCTGCTATCAGTGTGTGTGTGTCTTTAAGATCTTTTTTTATAAATTTTTATTTATATTTATTTTTTTCTTTTTGGGTCACACCCAGTGATGCACAGGGATATCTCCTGGCTAATGCACTCAGGAATTACTCCTGGCAGTACTCAGGGGACCATGTGGGAGGCTGGGAATCGAACCCGGATCAGCTGCGTGCAAGGCGTTTGCCCTACCCGTTGTGCTATCACTCCGGCCCTATCTTTAAGATTTTAACGTGCAGCAAAAGTGAGGACTCACTGACATAACTACAGACAAATTTGTGTAGACAAGATACTAAAGAATTAATCATTTTTTATGGGGGGAGGGGGCCATTTTCATATGTACTTAGGGTTTACTTCTGGCTCTGTGCTCAGGAGTAACTCCTGGCATTGCTCAAGGTGACCCCTGAGCACAGAGTCAGGAATAAGTGGTCCCTGGATTGAGGTGGTTAGCTGCATGCAAGGCAAGTGCCCTAATCCATGTCTCCAGCCCCTAGAGGACCAATCTTGATATCCCCTTCTCTGCCTCAAATACAAATGAAATCTTCCCTCAAATATTGGTACAGAATGTGGTCCACAGACTCCAAATGTCTGATTCATTCCAGTTTGCCTAGGACTTTCCTGGTTTTAGCCCTTCAGCCTCCATGCTCTGTGAGGTCCCCTGAGGCCTAGGGAAAGTGCTGGTTACCTTACTGGACTATCAGTATCAGTGTCTCTGGAGAACTTGCTAGAAACTACAATGGTCAGACCCCAGCCCAGGTTATTAACAGGCCTCTGTGTGAATTTGGCACAAGGTCAAGTTTGAGATCCATTGTTCTCGGTTATACAGCACTGCAGAACTCAGAGATAACTAGCCTGCTGTAAAAACCTACTCCTGCTGGTGGCCTGACCCACGGGACTAAGCCACGAGTCAGAGGTGCATTTTGTCTCACTTGCTTCCTTCCTGCCTGGATGTTCACTCTCTAAGTGGGCTTATCGAGCCCTTCAATCTCAAAAAAATGGATTTTGCCCTTAGAAGTTTTGACATTGTTAATCACCTTTGAAGCAGAAAATGAGAACAAAGGCGTACTCTCATCTCATGTAGGAGCTCTTGCCTATGAAACTCGTCGTCTAAGTGAGGGTATTCTCATCTTAAAGCTCTTATTTCCTGTTAAGTATTTTTGGGGAGGCCAGGAGCTGCTTCAGTGGCGTAGGCAAGAGGCCCAAAGTTCCACCTTGGCTGAGCCCAGTGAGATTGTGGCAGCTCTCCTGTCTGGGATTTTGGGTGCCGCAGGCAATTTCCAGATTCCCACAGGTGTACAGGTGAGCACCACCCTTCAATAGTGTCATTTCAGTTAGCCCCACCACTGAAGTGATGGGAGTGCTCCCACCTCTGTGAGCATGCGTGCCAGCATTGTGACTAATACAGGCCACCCTGCTGAGCACTGTGGCCCAGTGAGCAATCACCACAACCTGATGTGCACCCCGAAAGCCAACAAACACCCCAACCAAAGTGATTGTGAACCAAGGTCTTTGCAACAATAACATCCACAGAGGGAAGGGTAGGAAAGTTTCACTCTAACAGCTTTGCCAAGAGCATTTAAATCCTATAAAATGCATCATTTTTGTGTGTGGGGAGAGTGGCTGGACCCCACCCAGTGGCCACACCAAGACCAGCTGCGTGCAAGTCAGCACCTTGTCCCTACATACATCTGTCAGGCCCTCTCATAAAATTCATTCTTGACACATTCGCCATTTCCGTCCCTTCTCTTTTTCGTGATTGCAAGGATAGGAGGGGTCATGCACTTGGGCATGGTGCTCACTGGTGGGTGGGACAGCTCAGAGGGGGCACTCACACACACTTGGGTGGTCTTGTGCTGGGTATCATATCCCAGACCGGCCCAGGGAACCCATTGGCAGTAGGTGCGGGCTCACATTCCAAGAACCTAGGGCAGTAGGAGCAAGGATCAAACTCCCAGCTTCACGCTGCAAGTGAACGCTCTTCCCCAGGCTGTCAGAGTCCCTTCCTCAGGGGTTCTCACCCTAGCACAGGACTGTGTGACCATAACAACTTCCCAATCTCCGGACACCTTCATTACTCCAGCATTCCAGGAGTGTGTGGCCTCAGATTTAAGATTCTCTTATCAATTGCCATTCCTGATGCTAACTCTTCTGGGCCTTTGCTTCCCCGACAGCCTGGTCTGGGTTTCTTCTTCTTACACTGCAAGATAAGTCTCTTAGTTCCCTCCCATCTCTAGGATGTTTTGCTTTCCAAAAGTCCCCAGGTATGTCTTTAAATCTGAATGGAGACTTAAATATGACATTAAAGACCTGGAAAGAAAAGAGGAGTGGAGCTGTCCTCACTCAATAGTCCCACATATTTAATATCCTAGCTAGAAGAAAGTCTAAAGGAGGTCACTTATTCCCAAGGCATGTCTTCGCTTAGATCTTATAACTATGCTCTGAGAAACAGTACTGCTCTGAGTGCAGTTCTGTGAAGGATTCAGAGCTTTCAGGGCAGATGAACTGACTTGAAACACATACTTTGGCTGGCTAGGGTAAGGAGGTCGGGATGGGTGAGAAGTGGGCTGAAGTGCAAGGATGCTTTTTCTCCACCTTGTAAGTGGGAGAATTTCAATATTGGGATTTAAAATCCTTCAAAATAAGTGAATGATGCTTACAGGGTTCACTCGAGATGGTAGATGCATGCTGAAAGTAGACTATAGACCAAACATGATGGCCACTTACTACCTGTATTGCAAACCATAACACCCAAAAGGAGAGAGAGTAAAAGGGATTTGCCTGCCACAGAAGTGTGTTGGGGGAGGTGGCGGGAGGGATGCTGGGAACATTGGTGGTGGAGAATGGGCACTGGTGGAGGGATGTGTACTCGAACATTGTATGACTGAAATGTAATCACCGAAGTTTGTAACTCTGTAACTGTATCTCATGGTGATTCATTAAAAAAATATAAAAAATAAAAACAAAAAAATGAAAAAATTCTTTAAACTAGAAATATCTGAAATCCCTGAAGCACATGAGGTTAGGAGATAAATTAGTTCTCCTTAATTCAGGCTCCTCAAAATATTTTCCCTGGAATAAACCAATACAATGTAGGCAGGGAGTTAAGTTGTCCCTGATTTTCTTTGCTCTGAATCTTGCAGGTAACTCCTGATTCCCTGTTACCAAGTAGTTCCTTTCTCTTCTCTGACTCAATTCTACTGAAAAATAACCCTTGCCCTTCCCAGTTATGGGTTAGGACTGATCCCACAAAACTGCTGAATATGCAGCAGCGTAGATCAGCCTTGCTAAAGTTTGCCATGTCTCCTATGGGCTAACTTTTGCTTTGCTAAATTTATTGGTGAAGTTAGGTGCGGAAATGAGACTGATACACATAAAATTACCACTTCTCTGGGTAAGACATTCTGAGATATTTAAAAGGTACCGGTTGCCTTTTTCGTTGCTACTGTTTGTTTGTGTAGTTTCTGGGCCACACCTGGCTGCTCAGGGATTACTTCTGGATCTGTACTCCGGGCTTGGAAGGCCCCTGTGTATTGTTGGGGATCAAACCTGGGTCAGCCTGAAACCCCATATGATCTCTGTGCATAATGAATGTTGCTAAATGATGCTGGTTGGAAGTGGAGTCAGAGTCTCAAGGAATGGCTAATGATATATATGTATATATTTTTATATGGAACACTTCATGAATTTGCATGTCATGCCTGCATAGGGGCTATGCTAATCTCTGTATCGTTCCAATTTTAGTATATGTACTGCAGAAGTGAGCAAATGGCAAATGACATTAAACTGGCATTGCCAGCTAATTTTAATTTACTGCCTGTTCATGTAACATTATTGCCTCAGCTGTCCTCACGTGAAGACCGTGTTCAGTGCCACCTCTTGCCAAAGTCTTCTGTATTTGTGTCAAAACAACTTGAAGCAGAGATAGTCTGACTCTACTGCCAAACTGTGCAGCCGCTCAGCCCGTAGGTGCAAACAGTGCTCGATAAACAAGCTCCCTGCAGGGCGGGCAGCTGCTGGCTCCTGTCTCCCGTCTGCAGAGTGTATGGTAAGAGCTAAGTTGGAGAGACTTCTAAAGCAAATGGTGACAGCCATTCTTACTTCTTCCTCTGGTACTCTCCACATGGGCAGTTTTATATATTTATCAAAAGAAAAGTTTTCAGAAAAAAATCTTATGTTTAACTCTGTGACCCATTTTAAACAATTTCTTTATTAAACAGTCATGATATACAAAATTACTGATAGCAGAGTTTCAGGCATATAATAATTAAACATCAGTCCCTCCACCAGTATCCACTTTGACCCATTTTTTAATCCAACTTCAGGAATCATAAAATATTTAAACGTTTTATTCTTAAGCTATTTTAAACCTTTAACCATTGCATCGTGATGAAGAATGCAGAATGCAAGCTCTAAATCTTACTTTTCCTTCAGATACAGCAGAGATTTTTTTTTTTCAAACTTAGCACTCAGAACTAGGATATTTTAAAAGAAACTTTAAAAATATGAATTTTTTAAACTTTTTCTAAATGTTCTATCAAGATCAGATATTCACCTACATATAGAACTATACAACTGAACAGTGTACAGCTTTGATTCAAGTGTACAGTCTGACAACTTCCTTCAAAGTAAGCATAAAGGTAAAGGTAAAGGCCCTCCCGTTGATCATCAATTTGCTCGAGCGGGCCCAGTAAGGTCTCCATTGGAGACTTTGTTTTTTGTTGTTTGTTCAAAGCAAGCATGAAAAGCTCAAATCATTGACTGCATCTACACACCACGCATCACATTTCCCCACCAGGCACAGTTTTCAATGCACAGGTCTAGTATATGGAGTTTACCTGGTTATCTTCGACTCTGTGAAAGTAACACACATACCTGATGTTCTTTTTTTTCTTTTTTTTTTTATACCTGATGTTCTAACCTACTATCTTCTAGGTTGGCTCCCCACACACCCGAGAAATTCTGAACTTGCTGATACGTTCATTTAATATGGAAAATAAAAAGTTAATTTTCAGAGAGACAGAGACAAGACTTACCTGGATATGAGAGTCTGCACAGAGAGAGGCAGGTAACAAACTGGGCGTGTGAAGGCACACCTGAAAGTGAGAGTCAATTTATGTAGAAAATGTTTCCCCTGAGGCATCTGAGGTAAGAAAAAAAAAAAGGAAGCAAGGGGCAAGGTATTGTAAATGTTGCCAAAAAGAGTGACTGTGAAGTAACTTGCCTTAGATTTTGACTTCCAAACACAGTGTGGAGATGAGTGCATCGCTGCTCAGCATATTTTCTTTATTGATGTGTCAAATCTCAGGATGGGATTACCACAAGGAGTCAATTTCTCTCAAAGTAAAAGTCAAGCTCACAGATACTTGCAGCTGCTTCATCAGGGTGATGTGGAGGAAGAAGACTTGCAAAGAGCCCAAGGTTTACACGAGGCTCACTAATGCAATTGACCTCTAACACCCTCTAACAACTGAGTGCTTGGGGAAGATGCTCTCAGTTTATGCAGAAGAGAGACATAGTCCAAAAACTTTCTTTTAGGGCTAGAGCAATAGTACAGCAGGCAAGAGGCTTGCCTTGTGCGTGATCAATCCAGGTTTGATCCCTGGCATCCCGTATGGTCCCTGAGCACCAACAGGAATGGTTCCTGAGTGTACCTCCAGTAGTAATCCTGAGCATCTCTGAGTGTGGTCCAAAAATTAAAAAGATATTTATACTACTTGCGATAATAATGTAATATAGAATAATATAATAATACATAAATAATAAAAAAATACTTGAGTGGCTGACAAATGCAAATGTCTTTGTTATTCATTCACTTGTATAGTCTTTTGTTTGAACATTCAGCCTTGCTAGATTTCCTGGGAACCAATGTTCTGGCGGGAAGGAACAAAGAATCTATGTCTCTGGAAACTTAAAAAGTTCAGGAAATATTTTGGCTGCTAGAATTAGGCTGGTAAACTGATCCTCCACAATTAGAACATAAAAATTAATTAATCAAAGGGAAGACTTTCTTAATGAGAGAGAGAGAGAGAGAGAGAGAGAGAGAGAGAGAGAGTATGTGTGTGTGTGTGTGTGTGTGAGGGGGGCGGAGAAAGAGAGAGATTGAACTCAGGTTTGATCTCTGGCACCCTATATGATCCCCCTGAACACCACCAGGAGTAATCCCTGAGCACAGAACCAGGAGTAAACCCTGAGCTCGGGTGGCTGTGGCCCCCAAAACAAATAAGCAAAAAAAGCAAAATCCATTCAACTTGAAAAACTGTTTGAATCCTTACTCAGAAACTTTAGTAGTGCATACTCTAATAGAGACATTCTGGAAATCTCACAATTTAATGTCTCCTGGATGGGTAATCAGAGGCATTATGGCCCCATTGTTTAACTGGATTAGAATACAACAATGAGTTATTCAACAGTGCAGCTTACATTTTCAAATCCCAAAGATGAAACCGAAGGCATTTTCTTTGACCTTCTCCTTAAACTGTCAGACTTTCCCTGACCAGCAATGGGCACAGTTAGCAGAGAGCACATTGCAGGTGGATCTGGGCTCACCCTCAGGCACAGTTCCCCCCTGCACCCTCAGGCTTTCCCACTTTCTCTTTCTACCAGCACTTCTCAGGCAAATGATTCGGATCGTTAAAGGGCTTAAACTACTTTTGTATCTTGCACCCTGCTTACTTCCTGAGCTCTGGCTCCACAATTCCAGCTGTCTATGGACACCTCTCTCTGACTGACTCACCAGCACCTCAAATACAGTGTGTGCAGCTGAGGTCCTCTGTTCAGACACGTTCATCTCCCTCGTTTCACGGAGTACTGCCCTTCCCCACACTTTGTTCAAATCAGAAACATCAGTCATGCATTGTTTCTTCCTCACCCTTCCATCCCCTAAGACCTCCAACCAAACTCCCTGTGCCGGTCCATCCGAAATGGTGAATGGGGTTCACAGACAGTGGGGGAACTCAGATTCGGTCTTAGGTTCTCAGGGTACCACCTAAAGGGAAACTTGAGGACTCCATCCTCACGGTGCTTCCTTCCTCGCTCCTGTTCATTTGGAACAGCGCCTAATCCTCACTGATTCCAGCTCCCAGCGCTCACGGACTTCATCCCCTCATTATCATTTCTCAGGTCTCAATTTTTCCTTGCTTATTTATTTCTAAGATCTTTTCCAGGGTTAGGAGGGGACTGGAAACTGGAGGCCAAGTGAATCTGATGAATGTTTCCTTTGGCTTAGGAAGATTAAATTTAGTATTTTGTGGCAGTTTCCCCCTATTTGAGATCATGAAATAATATTTTGGAGGAAACTCTCTAGTTTCCAAATGTTAACTCGGCTCTCTCGATTTATTCGATCTCCCATAGCCTTACTATCAATAGATCAGTGGAGGGGCTGTCAACATTTCTTACACAATACTTTCTCCTAAATCTCATCTTTGCTTTTTCTGATGCACCTGACCCTTCACTGAACCTAACTGAATTCTCAGAGAACACAGATTTATACTTTGCTTTTTCTTTGCCTACAGACTTTCTTTGGCTCACTTTCACTTACATAATCCAAGTTTCTTAGTGTGGAATGACAAGCATACTTGCAATCCAACTCTAACTTATCTTTCCACAGTCCCTGGGTGAGACCTATGCTCTCCTCATTCTTTCCCCAGATATTTCCTGAATGCTGGACCACTCATGAGACACATTCTCCCTTCTAAATTTGCCTTTAAAAATTAAACTTATACATTTTTGGGGGGGCTGGAGCAATAGCACAGCGGTAGGGTGTTTGTCTTGCACGCAGCCAACATGGCCGACCCGAGTTCGATTCCTCCGCCCCTCTTGGAGAGCCTGGCAAGCTACCGAGAGTATCTCGCCCGCACAGCAGAGCCTGGCAAGCTCCCCGTGACGTGTTCGATATGCCAAACACAGTAACAACAAAATCTCCAATGGAGACGTTACTGGGCCTGCTCGAGCAAATGATGAACAACGGGAGGGCCTTTACCTTTCTTTACCTTTTTACATTTTTTTGGTCTAGGCAGAGTTGGCATTTCCTTCGTCTTTAGAAGCATTCTAGAGAAGGGGGAGGACGGGGAGGAGAGAGTGAGACTGAAAGAGACAGAGACAGAGAGACAGAGACAGAGAGACAGAAAGAGGAGAGGGAGAAGAAAAGTGCCTGCCATAGAGGCAGGCTGGGTGGGAGATGCCAGGAGGGATACCGGGGATATTCGTGGCGGGAAATGTATACACTAGTGGTGGGATGGGTGTTGGAACATTGTATGACTGTAACTCAATCATGAAAGCTTTGTATCTTTTTTTGGTGGGGGGGTTACACCCAGAGATTGTCAGGGGTTACTCCTGGCTCTGCACTCAGGAATCACTCATGGTGGTGCTTGGGGGAACCATATGGGATGCTGGGAATTGAACTCGGGTCACTGTGTGCAAGGCAAATGCCCTGCTGTGCTATCGCTCCAGCCCAGAAAGCTTTGTATCTTACCATTGAATTAAAAAAAAAAAAAAGCATGAGGCTTCCCTTGCCATGAAGTGTTGGGTTTAGCCCCACTCTCTATTCTGTGCAACGTGATGTCACAGACTCTAGAGAAGACTTCGCTCCTGCTCTTCTTCAGACTCCATTAACTAGGCTGCTCTTGTTGACTGTGTCTGATACTAACGGCTCAGTTCCAGTAGGGGAATTGTGTGCCATCTGTTCTTTGCTATCATCAGGTTCAAAGCACCATGCATGAGAGCTGGTTGTGTAGGTATTCTAGTGCCCACCAGGGGGCAGCACGCCT